AAACATCATTCTAAGAGACAATTCCACTCCTATGTGGTAGAGAGAGGCACCAAGCATCATTTTAAGAGATGATCCCACTCCCATAACCTTTTCTGGTGATGGCTGCTGTTGCCAGACACCTGTTTGCTTGTCAGAGCTGTGTTGAACAGGAGAACTCAGGCTACTCCCCTTCCTACAGAGTGTGATGCAGATGAGGACAGGAGAGGGGAGGGGAGAGGTGACTCCTACAAAGGAGCAGAGAGCAAAGTTCTGCTTTGGATAGGAGTTGAGCCACTTAAGATTTGTGTCAACTCAGGGTGCAGTGGAAATGGTCCCAAATCTTCAGACACCAGCCAAGAGTCTGTGGCGCCCCCAAGTGCCACAAGGGGGCTGCCTGGGCTACAAGTTTTTGCATTCTTAAATGAGGAGGGGGAGGCAAGAAAAGGAGGGACCTGTGCTTTGGATTTCTGCGGCAGCGCTTTAATTGCAGCAGATGCAGAGGAAGCAGGCGGGTAGGGGGGCGACAGTGTCCCAGGGTGGCTTCAAGAGGCCCCTTTCCCTCACAGGATCTGCGCTGCAATGCAGACGGGGCTGCGGGCGGGCAAGCTGCTGAGGGTCGGAGCTGTCCGGTGTCTGCTTCCCAGAGTGAGGAATGAAAGATGAGGGAGAAAGCTTGCAGGGAGTGCGCAGTGGCCAGGCGCCCAGGAAACCCAAGGGAAGAGCGAAGATGGGGCCAGAGCCTGTGGCTGTTGCAGGAGCTTCAGGAAAGTGGGGGTTCTGGGAACAGTGGGTAGTGGACCAGGCAGTTTTGGGGTTTCAAGGTGAGTCAGTTTACTGTCCTTTGAGTGAGAGCAAAGAGAGTGTGGAAGAAAGCAGCTGTGACAGCTTGGCAAGCAGTTTGAGGGAGAAAAGCATCAATTCTTATCTTTCTAAGGAGGCTTAATTAAAAATAAAACAAAATAGAAAACTAGACAGTGTGGCTGAGCTGGTTACTCACTGTGTGTGACAGGTGACAGTGCCGTTCTCTTAACTAAACTATCACAGCATCCCAGCAGGAGGGCACGCAGGCTGCTGTTTCTGCCTTCAAGAGAGATGCTGTGGATCTTTAGAGCTAGGGGAGAGTCTGGGGGTGCAAGCGGGCCAGCGGGGAGCTAGATGGCGTGCATCTGGATGGTGTGCGTCTGGTGGGGGTCTGCAGGGTCTGGGGGTGCACGCAGGCCAGCAGAGAGCTAGATGGTGTGCCTCTGGTGGGTGTCTGGAGGGTCTGGGGGTGCAAGCAGCCCAGTAGGGAGCTAGATGGTGTGCATCTGGTGGGGGTCTGGAGGGTCTGGAGGGTCTGGGGGTGCAAGCAGCCCAGTAGGGAGCTAGATGGTGTGCATCTGGTGGGTGCCTATTCCTCAGTGCCCCCCAGCACTGGCACTTACCCTTTTGTCCACCCAATTTGTAGTAAGTGTTTCTTCAATCCTTCTGCCACTCGGAGATATCTGTGAGCCAGCCCCACAACATTCTGCTAGACTGAACTTAGACCCAAAGCCCCCTCTGAGCTTTGGGTTTCCCTAGACCCCACTTCTTACCGACTAGCATTGATTTTCACTTGTTGCTAAAAAAGAAAGCCAGCATTTATTATGGAGATTTTTCAGACAACGCAAGCAGAGAAAGCAATGTGTTCTTAAACACCGCAGTTTTAACTTTTTTTTATTTCATCATCTAGATGCAGAGCCCAAGAAATCCATCTATCCCTGTGCTGCATCTGAGCTCTGGACCCTCCCTCGCTCCCCACCGCCTCAGTCCCCAGCCTCGGACTGTTTTGAGGCAAATTCTAGAGATCACATTGTCTCTTCTGTGCATCTTTGAATATTTATCTCTGAATAGGGGCTTCCCCCTTCATAAAAACATAAAGATGCTATCCATTACCCCGATTTTTATAAAAATACGTGTAATACTATTATCTCAGTTAACCACTTAACGGCTTTTCTTTTCTGCCATCTAACCTCTATGCAGTGTCCAAATCTTCCTGAAGGACTCATAAATTTCTTTTATGATTGGCTTATTCAGATCTCTGCCCAAAGTACTTGCTGCACTTTCAAGGGGCCTGTGGGGTTCTCAAAGGTAAGTACAGCTTGAAATTCAGCGCTTTAACCAAGTACAAATTTAGTAAGCCTCAGTTTTCTCCCTGAAAATGGGCCCAATTCTGGGTACCTCCAAGGGCTGTCAGGCAAATTGGAGACAGGTACATACATATCCCCCAGCCCCATATCAAACAAAAATTAGACATGGCAGCCAGCAGCTGTTACTTGAATTATCCGTTTTTCACGGAAACCTCTGAAAGAGTTGGACTGCGTAGACAAGACAGAGCTGGCCATCATCCACAAAACAAAAGGCGCCTGGCAGGCCAGGGCCCCTGGATGATTTAGACAGAGCGTGTACTACATCTCAACAAGGGCAGCCTGTAGAGCAGGGGGCTAGGGTCCCGGGACCCCCCACCGGGTGCTGGTCCACTAGGTGGCACTCTCTGCTGTGTGTCCAGGACAGACCACTCCCCAAGGTACCCAGGCCACAGCCAAAACATCCCAGGTAATTCTCAAACATCAGCTCCACATGCCATGCAAAACGCAGTGTTTTTTCCTCTCTGCATCCCTCCCAGCCCAGTAGCAGAAACAAGAAAATGCAAACATTTTATAACAAATTACTGAGACCAAACACTAGACAGCCCACCTCCTTTTTAATTCTCCGTCCTAGCTACATCAGATTGCTCATTATTTTACAGATAAGAGGATGATGAGGGGGTCAAGGATTTGCCCAAGATCGGCTAGTAAGCAGGACCCGGGGCTCCAACCCAGGTTTGTATGATCCCTTTGCAAAAGAGAGAAGTGGAAGGATGGAGGGTCGTTCTGATGGATGAGTAGGTTCCAGCATGAATATACGTGAGTGCCTAGCAAGGCGGCTGTATGGATGATAAATGCCAGAGGGATGGGGGCATGGATAACACAGGCCAGCAAGCTTCCCTATAGATAGGAGACCCAGAGATAGAGGAGATAGAAGAAGGCAGTTTCTCACCAAGATCAAAGGCTTCCTGGCTCTTCCAGGAGAAGTTCCCTCTTTGCAGTCTGCTGGTGAAGCTCCTGCGTTCTGTGCAGCCTCCGAGTGGATTGATTGACTCAGGTGGTTCTGAGATAACAGGTGGCCGACCAGGTCACGAGGACCCAGTTCCAGCTATGGTGCTGGGGCTGCTCACTGGCAGCTCTCAGTCCCTGCTGCTTTCACGTGTGCTGGGGAACAGCAGGCTGCTGCCTCTCCACCGGCTCTCCTGGATGACTAAGCCAGAGCCCTGGCCTCACGCTCAGCCCTCCTCTTGAACTTGGTGTGCTTTTATCTATGCAAGATCATCACAGCCACCCTCCATGATGGCATTTTCCACTGTCAATCAAAAGGAGAAGAAACTGAGGGTTGGAGATACGAAAAAGACTGTCCTAAAAGTCATATAAGGGGGCAGATGCAGACCCAGCCTCCTTTTTTCTCTCAAACACACACTACTGACAGACTGCCTTTCCTCTATGGCCACGCCTGAAAAGAAATCCGTGTGTTCCTCAGCACTCCCTCAAGTCAGGAGCACCTTTGGGGCTAAACTTCTTATCCAATCGAATCGTAGTTTATTTTCTAAGCAACATCTTCTCAAGTACATTCTATCTGTAATTATCACACAAGCAGGGGCCACACGTACTCTGGCATCCCGTGGGAAAAACGAGCAAGTGAGGTTTCCTGCATTTTCTGTTCTGACTGAATGCTAATGGAGTAGGTGTAAAAATGGCTACCCAGCCCGAGGGGGTGCGAGGCAGGGAGCACAGGGACTGGGAATGGCCTCTCAGCAGAACGGGCTTTCGTCTTAACAGCTAGGTTTTGCAAAGCTGCACATGGGCCAGGCTCAGCCAGGCTCTGCCAGCAAGCCCCTCTGTGTGTGCCTTAACCCTCGTGCCGCAGCCCTAGTGCCTCAGTTTACCCAGCTGTAACACAGAATACCAAAAGCACCTATTATTATTACTGTTGTTGTTATTATTGTTGTTTTTGTTATTATTATTTCTTTTGAGACAGGGTTTTACCACATAGCCATGACTGTCCTGGAACTTGTTAGGTAGACCATGTTGGCCCTCAAATTCACAGAGATCCACCTGCCTCTACTTCCTGAGTGCTGGGATCAAAGACGTGCACCACAATACCTGGCCGTATTAACAGGCAGTTAAAGCTACTTGAGGGGCTGGAAGACGGCACAGTTGAAAGTGCTTACTGCTTTTCCAAAGGAGCCAAGTTCAGTGCCCAGAACCCACATCAGGCCACATACAATTAATTGCTCCAGCCTCAAATAGATTCACCACCCCCTTCTGGATTCTGCAGGCAACTACAAATTCATATATACGCAGTTTAAAAAATACATATAAAATGCAGTGAACTGAACTCTTAAAATACACAAAAAGGGGGGCTGGGATGTAGCATGCTCCCTTAGCATTTCCAAAGCCCTGAGTTTGACCCCCAGCACCATGAAAAAAACGGGATGAGGTTACAGACCTGTGATCTCAGTACTGAGAAGGTGGAAGCAGGAAGATCAGATGTTCAAGTTCACCCTTCACCACATAGCGATTCGAGCCAGTTGAGGTGCATGAAACCCTTCTGTCCCCAAAAGGTGTTTTAATCATAACCACTGAGATAGGATTTAATATCTTTGGTAAGAATCATCAGCCACTTGGGGCATCCACTGCCTCATTTTGCTTCTTCCCTGCTGTGTGACCACTTGCCAGTCACTTAACCTCTCTGGGGCTCAGTTTGCCAATGAATAAATTAGGACTTCTGGTATCCTTGTGCCAGTATGACCATCTCAGTGGTGCGTTCTCCCCCGAGAGCTGCTTTCTTGGCCCCCACGGTTCGAGTTATTCTGTCAGCCCCACATTTTGTGCTTATTAATTCTGAGTGTTCTTTTCTGCCTTCCCCCACAGGGCTGATCATTCTCAGATTTTGTCCTATTCTCAGCATCTAGACCTGGAACAGAACGGGAGCGAGGATGTCTGGTGCCTAGTCATATCCACACCCGAGGAGTGTCTGCGTGTGCACAGCTGGCTGCTCGGGGCTCGGTACAGTGTCTGCATTCAGTAACTGTTGGCTAATTATGACTATTATGTCTAATTGACAGGGCTGTTGTAGGGATGAAGTGAAAATAATGTATGCTCTCGTGTGGTGTGGTGTGCATATTCTGTGTTGGGTGTGGGATGAACTGTGCTGTTGCCCCCTGGGGCCCACAGGGGGACTTTTATACCACCTGAGGCCCCCTGCTGGGAGCTGGGAGCAGGGAACTTGGAGCAGGGAGCTGGGAGCTGGGAGCTGGGAGCAGGGTGTGGAATTGGCTTGGCTTGGTCAGTGAGCGCCCCCTTTGGTCAAGAGGGGAATAATTTGAAATTCAAGAATTTCTTGGCAATTCAGGGCTCATTTTGAATAGTGCTTTTTTAGCATTTGGGCAGCTCTGAGTTTGAAACCCCCAACACTGCACAATAGTAAGTGTGGCGGCCCAGACCTCTAATCCAAACACTCCAGAGGTGGAAGCAGAAAGATCAGGAGTTCAAAACCATCCTCAGGCCAGCCTGGGTTTTAGGAGACCCCGTCTAAAGAAAAACAAATACTAACAAATCAAAACAGCAAGTCTGATAGCACAGATTACTCCCAGAGAGCAATTCGTTTCCTACACTGTTTTGACTTTCAAAAACGCATCCCTTTGGGTGGATTTCTTCTTTTAACTATGATATCTTGACCACAAAGGAACAGCTTCCAATTATGTCTGGCCTAAGAGCCATTCTTCCTTAAACCTATGGCTAGGCCTGAACACAGAGTGAGTCTGATTGTTTAACCTTTAGGAGACTGTTCGAGCAGATAGGTGTGTGGGGTGGAACTGGCGGTCAGAGTATGTACAGGGCGGCCGTTGCTTTGAGGATTGGTCTGTCAGTCCACCCGTCAGTCCACCTGGTCCATCGGTCGGTCGGTCGGTAGTCCTTCACCCTGTTGGACCCAGGAAGTGATGCTGTCCTCACTCTACAAATCCTACGAGTCCTGGGCCTAAGACAGAGAGACCAGGTCACGTCTCTGCAGTCACACAGCTCATGAGTGCCTGCTGGGGTGGAACCTGGTTTGTCTGTCTGTCACCATCGCTCTGCAGCTGCGGGAGCAAAGATTTGGACAAGGGGCTCAGTGATGTCGTGGGAGGGGCTTCTCTCTGGCTTTGAAGAGAATGATTAACTTTGCTCAGGGGCCAGTGCTATGTATGTCTTCTGGTCGGGGGAACATAGCACAGAGAGGGTCCTTAATTATCTTGATGTCACCCAGCTAGCTAGAAGTCGAGGCTGAATTTGAGGGTGGGTATCTGTGGGTATTTCTGTCGGCCACTCTGTCCCTATGGCTGTGATTGTAAGCAGAAGTAGCATATGTCTGTGAGAGTCTGGGTTAAAGTCCTGTCACCAACTCTGGGTGGGCATGTCCTAAAGTCAAGCTGTGTGTCTTTAGCAGATCACAGGCTCTCAAAAAAAAATATATTTTAAGAACACACGTGTGTTTAAATGTTATTTGTATAAAAGGAGGAGGGAAGAATCATTGGTTATAATGGGTAACCAGCTTTACAATGGGGACAAGAGGGTCCTAAGTGAGCCTCATAGTAAGTAAAATAAGATATGTATAAGGCCTGAGGACGTGTGTGGGCTGCGAACCAAATACTGGGGCAAATGCATCACCAGTGGGTAACATATAAAAAGAGCTCAGAACGATTGGGGGCTATTAATTTTTTTATTAAAAATTAAAAGACATGAAATAATGTCCTCATGCCTTGAATCCAGCAGCTATGAGGGTCCTTCAGATAAACATCAAGACTAACCCAGGTCTGCTAACCTCATGAGCATAAGGGCCCAGCAACCATTTCCTTCCATTCTGGGACCCTCACATGGCCGCTCTGCACAGGTGGCAGGCCTGGTACGTTAGGAAGTAATAAGGAATGATGTAAAGTTATGTACAAAACAAATTATGCATAAATTTAATTAATTATGCATAAAATTAAAGAGCAGTTTATGTAGACCGACCATGAGGTGCTGTTTTCTGTCCTGTTTTAAGATGATTTAATTGACAAATCGAAATTGTATGTATTTAAGCTTCGATGTCTGCTGTTTGTGTCCAGTACTCCACACACTGTCTTGCTCATGTGTGGGAGGAGAATATTTAATATGGACCTTCTGTGTTAATTTTAAATACACATTTCTGTTAACTAGAGTTGCTGCTGTGTACATTGTCCATTGAGAACTCAATGTTCTTAGAAAAACAAGTTGTACTGTCTGACCAGCTCCTGTTCTTCACACCTACTGACCTCTGCTAACTGCCATTCTTCTCTGAGTTTGGGTGACATTATTAAGAGAGTGAACCCAGCCAAGTGTTGGCCTGTGAGTAAGAAGGCACTAGGGTGTGCAGAACGGTTAATGGTCCTAGGTTGGTTGGTGTCCTTGGTCTGTGGTTAAAATGCTTTAAATGCATGCGTGAGGGCACAATGATAGGAGCCCAAGAGTGGCCTCCAACATGTTTATCTATTGTTGTGTAATTGTAGCCCTTTAAAAACCTTACTTCTGTGTGTTAAGAGTCATGTGGGCGTACTGAGCTATCTGCTCCGGATTAGTGCTCAGTTCCTCTGTGTTTATTGTATTTAAAAATGTATAAAAACCATGGGGAAAATGAATAGGCAATAATGATGAGATTGTATCTGGAGCCAAAATGGTGTGTTTCCAACTCTGTACCTAGGTTTGTTTGGAAGAGGGTCTGTTCTTTCCTTTGTAGACAGGAAGTGCTGGGATCAATGTTTGTAGAAAGAGTTGCTTTTTTTTTAAGGTGGTCAATCAATGCATATTTATTGAAACAATAACTATGAATGAATGAATGAGTGAATGAATGAAAATGAATACCTGCTTGGGCCAGTATCATGATCTGAGACTAAGATTAGCTGCCTTGCTCACTAATGGCCATGAAGCAGGTCTTCCTACTTTGTAATAGCTGCCTTGTGTTCCACAGAGTGGAGGCCCTAATATGAATGGCGACCTAGTCTGCTGGCTGAGACCTTGGCAGTGACCACTGTGGGCAATGAGCCATCGACCAACAATGTGAGTAATGGCTCCTTTTGTTATTTTGAACTTGGGATTTTGGCTGATGGGTATTTGTTGCATTATTAAACATGATTGAGTTTGTAAATAAAATCAAAGATGGCCAAAGCACTAGTCAGTGATGAGAGAGTCATGAAACAAGGGTAATTAATCCAATTAGGCATAATAATTACCAAATTAGAAATTATATAGTTGGCTGTTCCCTATGTGGAAAATAGCAAAGAAAAATGGAATAGCTCAGGCTAGGGTGACAGCTTAATTGGTAATGTGCTTGCCCTACAAGCACGAGGGCCTGCCTTCAATGTCCTGGTGCCCACATGCAAAAACTAGGCATGGTGGCATGCTTATAATCTCAGTCCTGGAGAGGCAGAGACAGGACGAGCTCTGAGGTTCTCTGACTAGTCACCCTTGCCTACTTGGGGGAGCTCCAGTCCAGTGAGAGACTCCATGTCGTCACAAAACAACATGGACAGTGATTGAGGAAGACTACTCTTTTGTTCTCTGGCCTCAACATGCATGCACATACATGTGCACCTGCACAAAATGAGCACACATATTACACAGGAAGTATGTATGTGCATAGGTACACACACATGCCATATGCATTGCATACGTTATGTGTTACATTTTTTTTATTGTTGTGAGGGTGATGTGTTCATGCATGGTTATGATTCTATTAAATGTTGATTCACTTCTTTTTTTTTTTTTTTTTTATTATAATCTATTATTTTTATTATTATTTTGTTTGTTTGTTTTTTTTTTTAATTTATTTATTTATTAAGGATTTCTGCCTCGTCGAGGTAAGCCAGACCCAAAAAGAGGAACATGGGATGTACTCACTCATATTTGGTTTCTAGCCATAAATAAAGGACATTGAGCTTATAATTCATGTTCCTAGAGAAGCTAAATAAGAAGGTGAATCCAAAGACAAACACATAGGCATCCTCAGGAATATTAACCTTCATCAGGCGATGAAAGGAGACAGAGACAGAGACCCACACGGGAGCACCGGACAGAAATCTCAAGGTTGATTCACTTCTGAAACAGAACCATTGGGCTAATGAATATAAGACAGCATGACCCGAGAGGATGATCACTCAGTTCTCCCTGTTGGAGAGGCGTCAGAGCCAAAGTGCCTCAGCTTTGTCCACTGTGAGCTTGTGTGCAGTGCCTAGACACGTGTCAGTTCAGCTATGATAGCCCTCTGCATTTGGAATGGGCAGTTGGTGGTTTCTTGTTGTTAGCTAAGATTCACATATGTTGCTTCATGATTTTCTTTTTAAATCTGAAAACAAAACCCAAGTGGTCCAACCTCAGGCTAAGGAGGCTAATATTGGACAACTATTAAGCTTCTTCATCAATTCCACGCAAGGATGCATCTGAAAATTGTCCCAGCTTGCATGTTTCCAATAACTGTTTTCCATTACGTAGAATGAGTGCATTGGAGTTTATTCAATCTTGTAATATTTGTGAGGGACTTTTACTCTTATTTGGAGATAAAAGGTACATAAAATGTGAGCATTGATGCCATCATGTTTTGAAACAACTTTAAAATTTATTTTATGTGTTTGAGCGTTTTGCCTTCATATATGTATTTATATCACATGCATGCCTGGTGCCCATGGAAGTCAGTAGAGGATGTTTGATCCCCAAAATGGAGCTACTGAAGTTTGTGAACCACCATATGGGTGCTGGGAACCGAATCTAGGTCCTCTGCAGGAGTAACAAGTGTTATAAACTCTGAGCCACTTCTCCAGGCCTTGTCTTCACGGTTTAAAGTCTTTAGAGAGTTGTTCAAGGGAATTCACAAACAAGTAATCAAATGAATGGAAAATAACCAGCAATTAAACTAAGAAAGGGCAAGATACAATGCCCTTGAATTTTTAAAAATCCATTTTATGTTGCCTCAGTTTTTATTTTGAACATGAGTTTAACTTCCTTGTACCAGAAGTAGGCTCAGTGACCCAGATCTTAAAGGTGTTAGAGCCAAATTTCTTCTCCATTCACCTGCTGGTAGCCATTTTCCAATGGGCAAGTGCTGCCTGCTGACTTGCCCCATGAGTCTACCAGCTAGCCTAAAGCCGTTTCCTAACCCCTCTGTAGGAAACTCTCCAGGTCAACCCTTTCCACGAAGTCCCATCATGGCAGGACTAGACTTCATAGATTCTCCCTTGACAGAGACCTAAAAGCCAAATTAAAGTAAGATAAAACACTTATCACCCTAGAATTATGATCCAAATTATATACATTAAAAGTCCTTAAAAATATTTTGATTAAGGAGTTAGCCAATATGCTTGTAACCATGCAAACAAGATGGTGTGTTGGAGGCTAATTTTAGCACTAAAAGTAAATAATTCCATAAATGCATTGAAGAATTGAAAGCCCAAAACATTGATTGGTGATGAGAATGGTCCAAGCATGAGAGGATTGCAATTCTCTAATGTGCTCCTAGCCACCATAACAACAGCCTGCACGTCCCATTCTCTTAGCCAGCTGTTTTGGGTTTTACTGTGTATATTACATGATTTGTTTAGACATTCTACTGTAAGTAAAGTGCTAGGCTGTTTATTCTTTGAGCTAGGAGTGAGAAGAAGGAGATGAAAGCCATTGCCCTGCGCTTGCTCGCTAACATTTTCTTAGAAAGGACCAAATCACAGGGCTGGAGAGATTGCTCAGTGGTTTGGAGAGCTTCCTGGACAGATCCCAGCACCCGTGTCAAGCCGCTCGTAGTTACTTGTAACTCTAGTTCCAGGGCGCCAAAATCCCTCTTCTGGCCTCCAAAGGCCAGGTGCACACAGCACATCACACATACACAGAGGGTCACACACACATGGACACACAATAAATAATGAAGACAATTTTTTTTTTTAAAAAAAGAGAGGTATGATCAAATCAAATGCAAGAGAGTCAGCATGAGCTAGGGATGAAGGTGTTGAGACTCATACTCTTGACCTGTCTAAGTTCCTTAGGAAAAGACACAGGTTGTTTTAGGATAAACAGCAGGCCCCAGCCCTGCCCCATGGATCTCTGTGCAGAGAGGAGAAGGTCTGGTGATTGCTTCCATGATGAACGGTGGTCTTTAGCCTTGCAGGAATGTTGTACACTTCTTTTGCTTATTTTTTTTTATTTAATTTAGATTTAAATAACCCTCCATGGCTAGTTGTATTAGGTGATTGGCTCATGGGAGTTTTTCGAGACCAGCCTGGTCTACAGAGCTAGTTCCAGGACAGGCTCCAAAGCCACAGAGAAACCCTGTCTCGAAAAACCAAAAAAAAAAAAAAAAAAAAAAAAAAGAATTCTAAAGAGAGATAAAAATACATAATTTAAATTAATGGATATTAATTGTAGTTTAATGGCTGAATGTGCTAGAAAGAAGCATTATTATTAATATAGTGCTATACAGCTGCATTTTACTTCTAAGAATATTTGGTTCATGTATTTATTTCTTTCATTAACTTTTCAACATTTCCTTGACTTTGTATTCTATAGTCCATGTGAGCCTGTCTCTAATATTGAAGATTTATATATCTCAATGGACAAGAACCACAAAGGTATTGTCAAATTTGCTAGTGGTATATGAAGTGATTGTTTCGTGTACATTCTTTATATTATCAAATGACTTCCGCAAATGATTAGTGGATACAAAGGGCTGGAAATGGAGCTCAGTGAGAGAATACTTGCCTATTGTAGACAAGGTTCTGGGCTTCATCCCCAGCCCCACACGATAACACTGAGTCTTCCTGTGCCACAAAGTGATAGTATGATGATTTCTGATTAATTTAGATCAACAGAAGTGTAATCCATAAATGAAAAATTTCAATCCACTTCAACACAACTCAATTCCATTAACACATAGTAAGACTACATTATTTAATTACACATAGTAAGACCACGTTATTTACTTACACATAGTAAGACCACATTATTTATTAACACATAGTAAGACCACTTTATTTATTTACACATAGTAAGGCCACATTATTTATTTACACATACTAAGATCCCATTATTGATTAACACATAGTAAGACCACTTTATTTATTTACACATAATAAGATTACATAGTAAGAGTAAGACCACTTTATTTATTTACACAGAGTAAGACCACTTTATTTATACATAGTAAGACAATATTAACACATAGGGAGACCACTTTTTATTTACACAGATTAAGACATTATTTATTAACACATAGTAAGACCACTTTATTTACACATAGTAAGACCACATTATCTATTAACACATAATAAGACCACTTTATTTACACATAGTAAAACATCTATTAACACATAGTAAGACCACTTTATTTATTTACACATAAGATTACATAGTAAGAGTAAGACCACTTTATTTATTTACACAGAGTAAGACCACTTTATTTATACATAGTAAGACATTATTTATTAACACATAGTAAGACCACTTTATTTACACATAGTAAGAACAGTTTTTTCTTTACACAGATTAAGACATTATTTATTAACATATAGTAAGACCGCTTTATTTACACATAGTAAGATGACACTATCTATTAACACATAGTAAGACCACTTTATTTATTTACACATAGTAAGACCACATTATTAACACATAGTAAGACCACTTTATTTGCACATAGTAAGACATTATTGATTAACACATAGTAAGACCACTTTATTTATTTACACAGATAAGATCACTTTACACATAGTAAGACATCTATTAACATAGTAAGACCATTTTATTTATTTACACATAGTAAGACCACATTATTAACACATAGTAAGACCACTTTATTTGCACATAGTAAGACATTATTGATTAACACATAGTAAGACCACTTTATTTATTTACACAGAGTAAGACCATATTATTACTAGCATTTCCATACTTCACATTACTTTTACACCACAGTTGGTTCAATCCACTTATCATGTTCATAATAGCTTGTTGTATCAACTTTGAAAAATAGACAAATTAAGGGGAAAGGGAATAAAGATAGGCTTGTGATGAATATGGACTCCCTGTATTATCAAGAAGGCTGACCGAGAGTCCGGCACAGCAGCTCATGCCTGTAATTCCAGGACTGCTAAGGCAGGGGGTTGAGACTATCATGGGCTAAAAAGAAAGACATTCTCTAAAAACAAAAATAAAGAAAAAGAATGTTAGTGAAGTGACACCTGGTTAGTAACACCAGGGTAGTGACACCAGTAATATTGACAGGAAGCTTAGATGGGAGGAATGTGTGTTCAAGGTTAACCTGGACTCTATAGTGACATCCTGGTGGGGTGGGGAAGAAAGGAGAGAGAGGAAGTTAGAAAGAGATAGACTGATATGCAATCAATCTATCAATCAATCAAAAAAGTCCACATTTTGGGGTGTTAGTCTATCGACATGCACTTTCCAGGAGAGGGGCCACTAGCCACACTGAGCAGTTGGACGGTCAGTGTTTTAACGTAGATGTGATCTCCATTTAAAATTCCCAACGTAGCTATTAATTCTTGAATAAGTGTGTCAATTAATCAGCTTTATTTACTTATTTATTACACTATTTACTTAGCCACAATGATACATTTTAGAGTTGTGACACAGAGTGGAAAAAAGCAATTTTCTTTGTTTTCAAATTCCTGTTACTCTTCGAGATTGGGAGGAAAGGAATCAGAATTCTCAGCAATTTCAGAATTACGATTATTTTAAGCATATATCTAAAATGCATGTTTAAAGCATAAATCACACTAGATTTGATGGCTTTGATGACGAGCTACAGCCTACAGAAATATCCAAACAATATAACGTAATTCCAGATCTCACAGGAAGGTAACAGCCCCTGGTGGAATCATATGTGGACACTGCCCCTTTCAGGACTTATTTTGAATTGAACCTGTCTTAGCTGTTGAGAAAGGAGTCAGAGGACTTGCTCGAATTCTTCAGTACGTGCTTTATCTGTTTTATTATTCAATCAGTCTGCATATGCTTGCATATACACATTATAGAGTAGGGTCTGCATGTGGGGCGTTATAAATCGTATCTCATAAATGATTAATTGAAGAGGACAATACATTAGATAAAAGTCATTCTTTGACTACTCATGGGCATGTGTAAACATTGTGGTTTTGCTTGATTTGGTTCACAGAGACTAAGGTATTAGGAAGAGGGCCCAAGGCTCCATTGCTCCCTGAATTTCCTAAAATCTGTATTTTTACTTTAATTATTATTTTTATTTTATGCACACATTTGTCTCTCTGAGAGTGTCAAATCCCCTGGAACTAGAGTTACAGACAGTTGTAAGCAGCCATGTGTGTGCTGGGAATTGAACCCAGGGCCTCTGGAAAAGCAGAAAGTGCTCTTAACTATTAAGCCATCTCTCCAGCCCCAAACCTGGATTTTTTTTTTTTAAATTCAAATTCTCCAAAATTTATATCAAACATGTTAATTGCTTCTAAAATGTTCGTCACTCTTTAGATAAAGGTTATTGCAACTTATTAAAGGTTTTTACTCTACAGGTTCAATGATGCGCTCCTCATGGTACCTAAATGATCCTAAGCCTCTGGGGCAGGAAGAAAGGGACTCAGGTAAGTAGTGTTGAGTGGCTATGCCATCCATGGGCTCACATCAAGAGGATGAATGACAGCTGCCCACAGACATGAAATAAAAAGTTAGCAAGGCGTGATGGCTCACACCAATCATTCTAGCACCTGGGAGACTGAGGCAGAAGGACTGCTTTGAGTGTGGTGCCATCCTGGGCTACACAATGAGATCTTGTATTATTAAAAAAAGGGCTTCAATCCAAAACCAAACAGTGGCATGTAAGAAAACAAAGCAAAACAAAAAAACAAAAGCAACAAAAAAAAATTAGGATGACATTTTCAGAGGGATGTGAAGGGTTTTTAGCACAGCTGTGACAATCAGGTAATGCAAACTAACTAGCTAGAATTAGTCATTCGGTGGTGTTTTAAGTCCTTGAAAACATAATGTGTGCACTTAATGTGCACAATTTCATCTTTCAATTATAAAAGCAGAACAAAACAAAAGTGAGCAAATCTGCCAGGCATCAGTTGCTGGTGGGGACCGAGATTTAGTGCTTTGAGCATAGCCCGGCTCCTGCTGCGCTCAGGCTGGGGGCCCTAGTGTTGACGCACACGGCCCCTCTAAAATTCTCTTCTGTTTTTGTGTTTGTAGAAAGTTTGCCTTTCAGAAGATGATCTGATCTAAGTTTTTAAATATTCTGCAGAGGGACCCCAGCAAGATGCCGTGTATTATCTCTGGGTCTCTGGAGTCTGGGGTGCACTCCTTGGACCCACTTTCGGAAGCAGTTGAACGAATAATCGTGAGCAGGAAGCAATGTGATTGATTAATCTATATGGTCAGGCTATAGGTCTAATTAAGAAGTGATCTTATTTACCTACTCTGAGGACATGAGCCTGGAAATCGCTTGCTATGTTAGTGAAAGATTATGGTTTTGGATTTCCATGATTCATGGGCACTAAGAGAAACTCTGAATGAAAAAAAATCAATAAATTATGCAGAAATAGTAATGTACAGATACATAGTAAGGAAAATGCATTGAGCACAGACCAACAATGAGTACCTCTGGTGGATGTGTCAATACTGGTGCATAAACAGTAAAACGAGGTCTGTTGGAAACACACATAGTTGGCAGGTCTGGGGTGGGGGTAGAGTTCCTGATAGTAATGCAGGCCAGTGTGACATTTGGCTCGTGGGCCCCAGTGGCTCCTGAATCAGGATTGTAGGAGTTTGTGAGGAAAATATAGAGATGTCAACTATGGTCAGTTAGGAAATCACAGTGTGAAGCAACAGCTGCTAGCCATTTTTAATGCTGGGTTCCCTTACCCTCTAAAAATAAAAACCCACTGCCCCTCTGGGGCATGCAATACTCCCAGACACACAGACTCACATGCACAGGTGCATCAAGGTGTCCCCACGGTGGTAGGAGGTGGCTAGATGTTGTTTGTGCTAAGGAGAAAGGCTAAAAACATGAGCAATCTTGTAAGTACGTATTGGACTAAGAACAGTGTGGGCCAACAGAGAATGCTATCTGTAATGCTGGCCCTTCTTTTTCTCTCATGTCGAATCTAAAGAAAAAAATAGAGAGGTCTAGAATGGAACCAGCAGCAGGGCTTGGAATGGGGGGTGTGTGTCAGTAATAGGGACAGAATTATTGTTAGACTATCTGATACACACACATGAAACTGTCCTGAGCCCCATTGTGTGTAAGTAAACACTAGCAATCTAACTCTAGACTTTTTCTTTCTTTTGAAAGTTTGTGCTTGACTTCAGCAAGTGGATGCGCCCCCTCCAACTGAATCATCCCGGAACATCAAAGGTCTCAGTTTTTACCTCTGTGGGTAAGGAAAGAAGAGATTAATGTGAGTAATAGCTCAAATTTTATGTTCTTGGGTTCAGGGTTGGCTTATGGATGTTGCTTGCATCTTCCCAAAGTAATGAATGGATGTAATTCATAAGTAAAACCAACAAAGGCTACTGGTGGGCATCAAAAGCGTGGATGGGAATGTGCTCAGACTGGGGGGTTTTTATTAATGTGATTTAGCACCATTAAAATCCAATAGAAGAAGGTAGGTGCCAGATCATTTTCAGGGTTACTTAATATTCTATTTTCTTTGTTCTTGCTGCAATTCACTTATGTACTTTTCACTGATAACACTCAGGCTGTTAATTTCTTAAGGAGAAAGGGTGCGGGACAATGGACAAAATGATCTGTTTATTCTAGTTGCATAGTAAGATCAGGGGGCTTCAATTATTCATGGTGCCACCCTTAAGGTCCAAAGCGTCCAGGCAAAGGGTCCATGGTGAACACAGAGATGAATGGATATCAGAACGCTGACTGGCTAGAGTGTAAAAAAAGGATACACATTTTGGGGGAAAGTGACCAGATTTATTAATTAAGTGGAGAATGGACATTTGACAGAGCAATGCATTGTCCAGTGATGTTGCTCTTGGCCTTCTGATTTGTTCATTTATCATGTGTATACATAGATAATCTGCATAGCTTAGCACATCAATGCATGAATAGCGAGCAAATGGAGAAAGTGTATCAATAGCCTTGTAGAGCAGTGAGCTTTCCCAGGTGTCTGAATACAAGAGTTTTGACTAAACTGTAACTCAGGAAAATGTCAGAAAAAGAAAATCCCCCAACCCCCTCATTTCTGCTCTGAGGGTGCTTCTTGCACAAGATGAGCACAGACAATGATTTGGGCCTCCGCTCATCCCTTCTTTGAATTTTTTTATTATAATGGGGCGAGCACAAGAACGAATAAAGATGGCCAATTTGGCAAAAATAGAAAAAGAAAAGAAGGAAAGAAGCATTATTACTCGTTCCTTTCCAACCCTCATAATACACATAGATGCGGTCTGTCTGACCATGGCCTTCAAGGACATGTCCTGAAGTAATAAGGGCGGCGGGGCTGCGTTCCCAGCACCCCGGCCGCCTGCTTGGCTAGCTTATGCCCCGAAATAACAACACAACAACTGTATTCATTTAATAACTGCTTGGTCCATTCCTATCTAGCCTCTTCTAGGCTAATTCTCACATATTAATTTAGCCCATTTCTAATCATCTATGTGTATGGCACCCCAAGGTGCGCTTACCAGGAAGATTCTAGCCTATTGTCCATCCTGGGTCTGAGCTTCATCCCGGGAGTGGGGCATGGCGTCTCTCTCAGGCGTCTGCTCCCCAGAGGAGAGCTGTCGCGTCTCTGACCTCACTTCCTCTTCCTCCCAGCATTTTGTTCTGTTTACTCCACCCACAGGGCCAATCAGTTTCTTTGTTGGCCAATGACCTTCCTCTATCAATGTCCTGTGCTGTGAACCACAGTATTGCTGTTTGGATTGTGTTGATAGCTGGCCACTGGTTTTATTTAGACAAGAAATAAATTATATGTATGAATATGATTGTTTGAATAATTGTCTAATTGAAAAAAGGCTAAGCATGGAATACTTCTGTGTACATTCTAATAAGCTTTACTGATCTAATTCTGTCCACCAAAGGCCATTCTCTTCAAAAGGACCTTGTCCACTGTGTCTGTAATCACTGTGCCTATGATTACAGCTAATGTTTGGTCCAGTGTCTCAACTTTCGTTTCGAAAAATTGAGTACCCTTAAAATTGAGTAAAGGAATGAGCTCATAGCTCAGCTGATTACTTAAAGGATGTAGACCCGGGTACAGTTAGGGGCAAGTTTTATTAAACAAATTTGAATTGAAAATTTTCATCTTATTATTGTTGTGGCGTGGGTGTGCACACACTATTGTGCATGTATGTAGGTCTGTGGACAGCCATTTGGAAGTTGATTCTCTCCTTTTCATGGTAGTGTGTGGTAGTAGAACTCAGGCCTGTGGCTTTCTCAGCAAGTACTTCTGCCCACTTGCCAGCCAAAGATCTGATTAATTTAGACTTATTAGTGATTAATAAAAGCCCTCCATCTTTAACTGACCTTTGTTGGATTGAATCATATTAACTGCAAGTTTTTAGTTCATTTCTGTGCCTGGGCCTCCACCACATCTTCTGATTTTATTTATATGTTGGCTGTTTATGCCTTTGACACAAGTTAGCAATAAACCACCTACGCCTAAGCTATTGAATGGACAAGTACAAAAGCCCTTGAGTCCCTTCCCCACCCAGGTGGAAGCCAACATCTCCATCTTCTCTGCACGTCAGCTGTGGCGTTCTCACTCTGCGGAGAGTGGAAGGTGTTTGTGCTCCGTGACACATAACGCTCTACAAAGAATGAAGCCCACAGACTAAACCTTTTAATGGGCTGAGTCATGAGGGATTGGGCGACTAATCCAAACTTGGTGACTCTTACATCCCCATTGTTATGGGCTCCAAAATAACTCTACTTCTTAACGCACTGACTCATGTCCTCTTTCATGTTTCATACAACAGAAACTAAACTTCACCTCCCTGCACAAGGGAAACAAATGCAGTCATTAAGACCATGTGCTGCTACCCATGGACACCTTAGCCTCATTTATCTTTTTCAAGGGACCTGATTGTGCATTGCTATGGGTCTACCCTGAAACAGTGCTCTGAGAGGCCCCATGTTTCATGCATTAGCTGGCCGGCTCGTCATCTTTATTCTGTCAGTAGCTTGTTCACTCCTAAATTACATCAAGTGGATAGATGCTTGCCTATGAATAAAATAAAAGAAAGAATATGGGAGCAGCAGAGGGAATCGCCCAGAGTTTGTCGTTAATAAGATTCAGCATCCCTAACTCCACTAATCATGGATGGCTTTGGTTTGTTCTCAGAATTTTTCAGTATTAAGATTTGCTTTGCAGACTTAGTAGTTTACACACTCAGTCAGTGATGAATGCCTGGACCCAGAACTCACTGAGGTGGGAGCCTGCAGAATGAGGGCAGCAGGCAGTGCTAAGGTACTTGCTGTGATTGGAGTGTGGTTTGTGGTTATTCACATTTTGTTCCCCTAATCTGAAACATCAGAAAGTGTTCTTAAATCTGAAACTTACTGAGCATTGACTTTGGGTGCATGTGGAAGATTCCACACGTGTCCTCGTGATGGTTATAGTTAAAATACGGGTGGGTCCACTGAAGTATTGTAAAAACGTCCTTCTGGTCACAGGTGACTAGGTGACAAATGAAGCTTATTTCTTTTGGGGTAATGTTTTTAAGATATTTGATTATGTTTGTGCAAATATTCCAAAAGTTGAAAAAAAATTCCAAGCTTGCAACACTTATACCATGCAAGTCGGAAGCAGGATGCTCAGCCGTGACTGTTGATAGTTCTGGCATGAGTTCCACATCCTTTGATTTCATGGCTACAGCATGAAACACACTAGTCTCACAGTTTCCGTGAAGCCAGAATTCAGGGATTTCTGTGTGGTGTCTTGTCAACTTACAACAAGATGCCAGGCAAAGTAGTTGTTTGGCTGTGTGTGTGTGTGTCTGTGTGTATGTATGTGTGTTTGTGTGTATGTCTGTGTGTGTGTCTGTGTGTGTGTTTGTGTATATGTATGTGTGTGTCTGTGTGTGTGCACGTGTGTGCATATGTGTGTGTCTGATCTGCCTGCAAGGCTCATGTCCATGGCTGGCTGTTGCTGGGGACCATACTTCCTCTCCACATGAAGCCTTCCTCAGTGAGAATCCTTAGAACGTGGCAGCTAATTTCCCCTGAGCCGTCAGTGCAGTACAGAATTAGGTAGGTCCTTCATGTATCACACAGCCTAACTCCATAAGGCACAAACCAACACTTCCATATTGTTCTACTGGTCACATAGACAGTCATCATCCACAAGGTGAACAGATCACACAGGCTATGTGCCACAAGCTGTAGACCTGGCCATCATCTTGGAGGTTGCCTACCAAACTGACTGTTCAAAAGTCAGACAAATTTAAGAAGAGCAAGGAATGTTCCCAAGGGGGATTGACATGAAGTGTCGTCTTCACTGCCACGAGAGTGTCTCAGTCCCACAGAAAATAAGCTATCAGGTCTATCTCAGTGCACTGCCAGGAGCTTGATTTCAGGTTCCTATTTTATGGCTATTGACTTTGTAGTCATGACTCAATAAATGAGGGAGCTGGTAAACAAAGGTAGGACTAACTAAACCAAAGACAACCAAACCTGGACCCATGATGAGAATTCTGGGGTGTCTGAATCAATGATTTTGATTAACCCTGTAACTCTGAGGTCCATCGGAGGCCGGTGAGATGACCCAGTGGGTTAAGGCACTTGCTGCCAAGCCCGAGAGCCTGAGTTCAATCCCCGGTCCACATGGTGGAAGGAAGAGAACTGTTCCCGAGGTTTTCTTCTGATCTCCCCATGTGTGCTACAGCATGCACCTATACACAGACAAAGACATACACACACAAAGAAACATACACATAGACAGAGACACATGCAAGGCACACAAACATGCAGCCAAAGACACATATACAAAGACACATAGACAAAAACGCACACAACACACACAGACTCACATTGACAAACACACACAACAGACACAAATGAACACACACAAAGACACACAAATAAAGGCAAAGACACACAAACACAAAGACACAGAGACAAAGACAACTGCATACAGGTAAAGAGACACACAGACAAAGATACAAATAAGACACATACAAAAAGAGACACACACATAGAAAAAGACAGTCACAAGATGCATATACATACAAAGACACACACACAAAGATACACATAGAGACAAAGACAAACAAGATACACACATATAAAGACACATGCACACAGGCAAAGATACACACAAAGACACAGAAGACAAAGACACATGTGCCAGGCAAAAACACACAAATACACACACAGGCAAAGAGGAACACAACAAAAGATACACACACAACACACATGGACAGACACACATGCACACAGAAAGACCTACATGCATACAAAAACATACACAATAGACAAAGACACACATACACACAAAAAGTCACACATATGACACACATAAAGACACATACAGACAAAGACATATACAGGCAGAGACACAGGCAAACACACATACAACAAAGATATATACAGGCAGGGACACACAGTCAAATGCATATACAACAAAGATACACACAATGACACATGCACACAGGCAAACACACACACACACAGGCAAAGAAGCATACAACAAAGACATGCACAGAGATGTACACAAGACATATACTTACAAAGACACACACACAGTCAAAAAGACATACAGCAAAGACATTAACAGACAAAGACAAACACAAAGACACACAACACACACAAAGTTACATTCACTGCCGGGCGGTGGTGGTGCACGCCTGTAATCCCAGCACTTGGGAGGCAGAGGCAGGTGGATCTCTGTGAGTTCGAGGCCAGCCTGGTCTACAGAGCTAGTTCCAGGACAGGTGCCAAAGCTACAGAGAAACCCTGTCTCAAAAAACCCACACACAGACAAAGACATACACAGAAAAGACATGCACACAAAAGATACACAGACAAAAACACATACAACACACACAAGGACATAAGACACACACATACAAAGACACCCATAGACAAAGACACACACACAACACATACAGAAAAAGACATTCACACAAAGGCACATACAAGACACATACACTCATCCAGGCAAATACACATGACAGCACACACTCACACAAAGACACACAAAAAGGCAAAGACACACACAGAGGCAAAGACACACACAAGACACGTAGACAAAAGCACACATGCAAAGACACAACACATACAAAGACATACACAATGACACTCATGGACAGAGACACACACAGATAGATATAGACAAAGACATACACAATACACACATGCACACAAAGACGCACACAAAGATATACAGAAGACCCACACACACTAACAAAGACCTACACACACTAACAAAGACCCACACACACTAACAAAGACATAAACACATAGCCCATGTCACATACAGCAAAGACACACAACAGACACAAAGACCCACTCACAAAGACATACACACCACACCATACACAAAGCACACACAAAAAGACACATGCACACAAAGACACACACAGATAAAGATACATAACACACACACACACACCCCTAACAAGTAAAAAGAATAGACACCTATTTAGTTGTTTAGTAAATCTCATTAAAGTGAGAAACATTTTCAATTTCGTTCTTTTGCTATTTAGTTTCATAAGTCTGTGTTGTTTCACTGTAAGTAAATTAATACAACTAGGCAGATATTTAAATGCATAAATATTTAAATAATCAAGGACAAAATACAGCTGTTTGTGGCCTCCTCATGAGATTGCAGAATTTATGTACTATTGTGAATACATTTAAGGCAATCAATTCCAGCATAAATTTATTAAATCTGATTGATAGCCTTTCACACAGGAACACTGAGTCCTGAGAAATTGATAGCATTGTTCTTCATCATTAGGGAGAGAGCGGATGGGGAATTCATGCTTGTTTATTGAACTGTAGTTAAAATACAGAAAGTTCAGTAGTTAGGAACCAGCATTGATCTAATGAGCACAGGATTGCTAAGGTTAAGGAAAGCTAACCATCCCTGTCACGTGGACGTTCACTGTGGAAAGAGGAAGTCATCAGTTTTTTATTGACAATATCGTGCTTGTTGTTGTTGGGACTGATTGTCTGTTGATTTTGTTGTTGTTGTTGTTTTCTGTGGGTGAGCAAAGGATGGTTTAAATGAATGAAGAAAGCATTCAAACCTAGGCCAGTGTTCTTGGAGCATGTCAGCAAGAACTTAACTAGACTCCGAAGTCCCAAGGACCTCTGGGAAGCTAAAGCAGCTACTGTTTTCATGAGAAAGAGTGTGGGAAGACTCAGGTTGGGGTTTTTTTTTTTGTTTTGTTTTGTTTTTTGTTTTTTTGTCTGTTAAGATTCTTTAGTTCAAGCTGGGGAGTAGTAGCACATGCCTTTAATCACAGCACTTAGGAGGCAGAGGCAGGCAGATCAGTGTGAGTTCAAGCACAGCCTGATCCTCAAAGTAGATTCCAGAACAGCCAGAGCTACATAGAGAAATCCTGTCTTGAACCCACCCCCTAAAGATTCTTTAGTTCAACTTATAAGTTAACACATGAATAAATGAAGAAAATATGTAATGAATAGAAACAATAAAGGCGAGCTGTGGATGGAGCATTTCCTTGTGTGTGATGACAGGAAGATCTCATGGAAAGAGAAATAGGATTAATTGAATTTCCAGGTCAAGGGTCACTTCTTGAGGTAAGGGACATAAGAAGAGGGCCCTTGAAGAACTGGGTGCTTTTGGTGCCAGCCAGTTGTTAATCTAAATGTTTCTTCCCCACACCTCCCCTCCCCTACTATTTTATTTTTTTAGATCAGTTTTAGGATCTTAGAAAAATTGACTTGAGGCTATAGGGATGCCACGCATACCTGTGTGATCTCCAAAGCCCTCCCCCACAGTCTGTATCATCCAGTAGCGTAGAACATTTATTGAGAATGATGAACCTACATGGTACTTCTCAGTCTGCAGTTCACACCAGGACTTCCTTCAGGCATACTTGTTATGTGTCTGGCTACGTGTGCAATGGTATCTAAGCCTCGTGTGGAGCACTTTCATAGTCCTGGGGATGCCCAGTTGTCTTTCTCTCGCTCCCTGCCAACCCTGGCAATCCCCGATTTCACCGTCTGTCCACAGGGCACTGTCGTTGGGATGTCGTGTGGTTGGAATCATACAGCATGATGCCTTTCCAGGTTGGTTTCTTTCATGAGTAAAATGCATATAACACTCTCTACGTGCCGTCTCATCCCGTGGGGGTTCGTGTGTTTAGTGTGAGCTGATGATGTTCCATTTTTCTATGTGTGCCATGGTTGGTGGCTTGGGAAGGAAATCTTGGTTGCTGGGAATTATGAGCAAGGCTGTCATAAACACAGTGTGGGTTTTGTGTGAGTGCAAGTTTCCTGTTGAGTGTGTTCCATAGACGAGCATCTTCCATCCATGGTAGGAATAATTAGTTATGGCGGACTGTGCTGGACCTGCCTCTGCAGATTCATCAGTCTCAAAAAAACATTCTACTTTGCTGGGGCATTCTGGGCTTTTGTCTTTCTGAACAAATTTTAGGATAAGTGAATCAATATTCACAGAAATGACTTGCTGATATTTTAATTGGAATGCGCTGAATGTCTAAGTTAAGTTGGAAAAAAGTTGATATTTATGAGATTGGCTCTTCCTGTCCATGAGCATGGGAAAGCTCTTCTTCTCCTCAAGTTATCTTATCTCATGATAAACCTCACTTTATTAATGAGTCTTATCATTTTACTCATATAGACCCATACAATTTGTTCGTTCCATGCCTAAATATTTCTATATTGTGGTGCTAAAAGAAGTAATCTTCGCTTTTATTTTCCTTGTTGAGGGTGCCGTTTTCTACCACATGCGATTTAAACATTTGTCTGTCAGTCTGACCCTGTCTGATAGGGAAGAAAGCACAAGTAGTGGGAGGTGCTGCCTTTATTCCCTTCCATTGGGCCTTCTTCACACATCCATCAGTGACAAAAGGCCTGGTTACTACCAGTCAGAGCAGAGTGGTATGAGGCCTAGGTGCTGGCGAATCATGTTTGTTCCCTGAGCTCCACAGTTAAGGGAGATTTATTCTGTAAGAAAAGGGAGCTCTGGAGTTTTGTGTGGTGTGGTAAGCACCAGTAAATTAACAAGAGAAGAAAGATGTAGAGGAAGGAAGGCATGTTTGGGCCCATGATGAGTACCACGGGGTATCTGAAACCAGGATATTGTGATTAAACCCATGTATGACTCTGAGGTCCGTTAGAAGTAGCCCTTTTGTAGGGAATAAGTGCCCGGTGCCATGTCCTTGGCTTTTGTTTTGGAAATACATTGACTTTTTTCTTCTACACCAGCACTGGGGGCAGGCGGTAGATAGGGCGCATAAGCTACGTACATTCTCAGCTTGGTTTTTAACTTTTATTTTGAAATTAGTTTATGAATTTTTAAAAAGTAAGAATAAAAAAGAGGACAAGTTGTAAAATTATTACAAAGCAACGTAATGAGAGATGGATTATTATTACATCTCACCAATAGTAAAGGCTCTCAGCATTGTTCAAGGGTATGTGGTCATTTGTATGTAAAAGTGTTTGCATATATTGGTAACTGGTCTTGGATAGTTCCTTTAGGGAAGTGACACCCGTTCATTGGTGTAAAAAATTGTTAAATGTCCACATAATTGCCAAATGAGCAGAGACCAATGATAAGAATGTTAGTTTAAAACCTTCAGGGTTTTTTTTTTTTTGGTTTTCTTAATAAAAGTATAAAAAGAACCAAGCTGCCATTATTGAGGGCAGTAGCAATAGCCAGATGAAAATATTTTTTATACCCCAGGGCCACACCTGTATCTATGGTGCCTGTGGGAGAGATCTGCGAGTCAACACCTCTGGTAAAGCCTGGCTGTAACTCTGATATCTGTTATTCAGTGAGGGAAGGACCATGCTTTGTGGAGAAACTGCGCATAAGTTGGGGGAACTCAGTCAACTTGCCCTCGGAATTTTGTGATTCAGCGATGTGAAGTGTGTTATTCCAAGGGAATCAACATGTACGTGGGAAGTTGAGACAGTAAAGAAAGACACTCTACATAAGAGAGGCGCACCTATGTGTACAGCAAGCCATCTAATAAGCCAAGAATAAGTAATGCTATTGCTTGCTAAACAGCAAGAGCAGCTGTTAATTGGGGCAAAGCAGAATGGAGTCTGTAGCCCTCTTGCATACTGAGTGTATTAGTAGCTGCAATTGAGAGAGCTGCTTGGGTGTTTACTGTTCATTAGGAAAGGCGAAAGCACAGCAGCCAACAGTTTGTTAAATAACCCCTGATTAACAGATGTTTCTAATTACTGGAGAACTTATTCTTGGGCACGGTTCCTTACATGTTTACAAGGTTAAACGTCCATGTGTACAATATTCAGCATCCCAAGTTCTATATTAAATCTCAAGTTTATTTTTATGTAGTTCTGCTTGACCCATTACATTATAAATGCATTCTAATTCTCCTTTTCCCTCCTGTGGTGAATGTAGGACCCCTGATTTAATCATTTAATATGGAATCGTTGTCCTGAGTAAGGAGCATAGATGAGAATAAAGGTAAGACCCTTCGTTCCCGCTCTTTGTTTGGAGTCTTTTGTTTATAGATGGTAGCTGATCAATTTCAAGATGAGTACTACGTACCTACTAAAGCAGGCGCCCCTCTCCAACCATGCCCTAATTGAGGGAAGGCAGGGTTATTTACAAAAGCATGTTTAATCCTAATTAGTGCACCCGAAATGATTTTCAGTGGAGAGGTTGTTCTCCTGGCCTTTAGCGTTACTCTTCGTGTTGTGGTTGAGTTCAGCATGCATAAGAATAGCTCCCTGGGGATGGCCCAGTACACAAGCCTTTGAGTGTTTCAGAGGTGGAAGACAGTACATCATGTTTCATTCAGCCATCTTTGGCATATGGCGGGATTAAATAAAAGAGGCCCACACCAAAACTAGATACGGGTTTGCTCCAAAGCAGACATGTTTAACAGTCCGTAGTGTGCCACCCTTCAGCACCCTTATCAAACTAGTATGATCTGAATTTCTCAATGAGAAAAGAGCCCCAACCCAAAGATCTGGTTTCGGGGACTCTGTTTGGTTAGTTACGAATCAGTCAGTTAAGAAATGAAGCAAACACCCAGCATGGGCCAATGATGAGGAGCATGGGGTTTCTGAACGAGGACAGTGATTAAACCCTTATGAAATCTGAGGACTATTGCAAAGTGGTGTCTGCAGCCGGTAGAGACGAGTCCCCAAAGCCCGATCTTTGTGGATTCGTGGCACAACCCACATTCCTGCAATAAAACTAGCCATGAATAAAGACTCTATCAGTGACTGAAAATTAAGAAAGATAAGACTGGTCAAAATGGCACATGCTTACAGTCCTAACACTTAGGGAGTTGAGGCAGGGGCATCAGGAGCTTGAGGCAAACCATGGTTACATTTCTCCCCAAAACAAAACAAACAAAACCAAAATAAAGCAACAACAACAACAAAAAGCAAAACCAACAAAATGGGGGAGGTGGCATGATTCTACATTAAGGGCATTTGCCACCATGCCCGATAATATCTGAATTCCATCCCTGAAATACTCATGGAGAAGAACAGACCCTATAAGTTGTCTTCTGATCTCTATACATATGCCCCTCACACACATATGAGTTTGTGCACTAAATGAACAAATTAATTAAAACAAAAATAATGAAGAGAAACCAATGGTATACTTGTACTTTATTGAGCATTTAATGCAGTGTGGGTGGTTAATCATTTTGAGAGTCTCAGTTTAGGTGCCTAGCAGTTGTAGAGGCCATGCTATTTGATTATTGCAAAAGGAGGCAAGTTGAGGCGAGTTGCCCTATGTTAAGGAAAAGAAGCCATTTCTGTAATTAGGGACTAAAAAAAGAACACTCATACACAGGGCAACGATGAGACTTCACACACACCACCTTTGATAAAATCTAGACAAGTTTATTGAAATAAACACACACTAAGTCAAATCAAATAAGTTTGCTTCTCTTAAAGCGGTGACATAGGAAAAACATAAATATCACCCAGGGGCTGATACAGTACAGGTGGACTCCCATCAAACATGATGTGATTAAGAAGAGACATATTCTTAAATTTGTATCTCAACCAGTCCTTTTTGTTTTAATTCAGCCATTATGTACCAGTACCCTTGGGATCTTTACGCCATCCACTTCTGAAATCCACAATAAGGCAGAGATTTTTCTGGGCCTTTCCAGCATTGCATTTGGGAATTTACCTTGTTAGTGTTTCAGTGTTGGCTTGATGGCGGCAAACTTTAAAATTCTGCTAGAAAAATTATCCCATGAGAAATTAAACACATCAGTTAGTGAGGGAAGTAAGCAGGGGCGGGGGAGAAAGCTAAGTCAGTCAGTGTTTGCCTTGAAATCATGAGAAACTGATTTCCATCCCCAGCTCATGTAAATTAAAAAGGTTGAGTGTGATGATATATATGAGAAACCCTAGTGCTGGGGATACAGCAGTGGGTATATGATGGTGTGTACTGGTGACCCCAGTGCCGGGGAGGCAGCAGTGGGTATATGATGGTGTGTACCAGTGACCCTAGTGCCCGGGAGGCAGCAGTGGGTAGATGATGGTGTGTACCAGTGACCCCAGTGCCGGGGAGGCAGCAGTGGGTATATGATGTCGTGTACCAGTGACCCCAGTACCGGGAAGGCAGAGGCAGGTGGATCTCTAGCTCTTGTTGGCTAGCCAGTGAGAGACATAACCTCATTAAACAAGATGGTTAGCTTCTGACCAGCACCCAAAGTTGTCTTCTGGCCTTATACACATACGCACATGCACTCACGCATGCATACACACATACATACGTGCACACACACTCACACACACATGCGCTCACACTTATACACACGCACTTATGCACACACGTGCACTCCCACACGCACACATACACATGCACACATGCATGCATACACTCGCTAACATGAACCTGCACTTACCCAGGAAAATTGAGCTTGGACCATCACAGAGATTGTACCATATGGCAAATCTCTCCTCTCTAGCTTTTCGCAATGTCCAACTGAAAGGACAACTTTGTTCTTATGTATATTGGTAACAAACGCACCAGCTGTTCCTAATAATTAGAGTTATTTTTCTTTCCTTTGCTTTTTTTTTATACTGCTGGGTTCAGTGGTGTTCATTACATTATTTAAAATAAAAACTAATGCAGGTTCATAAATATAAAGTGCTGTTCTCGCTTCCAAATCCCATAAAGCAGTAAATATAAAGGACTGCTGCCTTCCCGAGTGTTACAACAGGAACGCAAACCGTTTATGGCTCATTGATCACCCCCCAACTGTGGTTCCTCCTCAGAAGCTAAATGACACTAATTCATTTGCATGTTTGCCTTTACTCCTCAGAATGAGCTCAGCTGGTGTGGCTTCGTGGCTACCTTCTGGGGAAGATCTTGCCTGTTTACCTTCTGGGGAAGATCTTGCCTGTTTCCCTCTGGAAAAGATGTAAGTGTGAATGAAAGACCTTGTCCTTGCTGGGAGAGGGGTGCCGTCGTGTCCATAGAATGGTCCCTGAGGTTCAGGTTCCAGGTGGCTATGAGCTTGACAGTGATGGAAATATTTTGTGAGCTAGCAATCGGGATGGATCCACTTCAGCACAGCCAAATTCCTCGGGATAAAAAGATGAGTGCTTTTCAACCATTTCCAGAATATTTTAATGTGATTTAGATCATAATGGACCCAGACACTTCTCCATTGTATTGCATTCACGGTCCCCTCACTGAGGGGCAACTGTAATAAAACAGCAAATCTTCTCATCAGATGGTGGTTCATTGTGCCACCTGTAAAATATAAATATGAAGTGAAAGAAGCTCAGACACAGCTCCTTGAATGACAGCAATTGATAGGGTGCACAGAATTGGATTCATTCAGATTTGCCCTCTTGAGGCTCTCAGCAGAATGGGCAGGCTGTCGCTCTGTGGGATATGCACTGTCGAGACATGTTTGTGTCTTCAAGGCTCTTTCCTTCCTTAATTCATGGATATTTATTGTAGTATTTGTGAATCAATGAATAAGTTGAGAATAATATGCCTGAATCAAAGGAGAGAATACCACCTGTGGCTTGATGATGGCTATGCCTGGGGTATCCGAATCCAATGTCTTGATTAATCCTCGACTGTGACTGTGGGGTCTGCTGTGCGCATGGGGAACGTGCGTTTGGGTTTTCATTGTTTACGTGTGTTGAGTTACTATTAATGACAATCAAAACACCAGCAAAAGACAAAAAGGGCTCTGCCTCATTCAGTTAGGAAAGGGGCTAATAAAGCAAAGATTGCTGTTCATTTCTGTGAGAAGACTTAGCTAGCCCCTTTGCCATTGTTTGGTGTTGGTGCTGAGTCAGTCGCTCATAGCATGACTTATTTTAAAATGTACCAATACTCTTACAGAACGAAGTTATGCATTTAGTATAGTATCAAACTAGTAATGGTATATATATAAGCACATTCATTAACAACTTAATACAATGAGCTGTTTTCCTAAGCACACTAAAAAGTATGTTGGTAAACAACACAATTAACAGACCCTCAAAGGCTAATTAATGACTAACCGTTGATCCAGGGGACCCGACAAAACCTGAACCCTGTAACTGAATGATTGTTACAGGTCCTCCCACTCCTTTTCATCTGGAAAGAAAAATGCAACACAATAATATGGCTGGCTGAGAAACTTAATTGTTCTATTTTAAAATGGATTTGTGGGTCATTTTATAACAAATGAATGGACAAATAGAAACATCACTTAATGTTTTGGCACATTATCCTGAGGGTTGATGAACATGATTGCTATTATTATAAGCCTGTAAAAGATATAGCTTCATGCCTGAATCCATTATAGAGGGGTGTAAGAATTGTTGTATATGCTTGTAATCTAAATCCTTGGCTGGCTGAGGCAGGAGGATTACTGCGAATTCCAGGTTAGCTTTAGCTACATCACAAGACCTTACCTCAAAGGTAATTTATTTTTTTTAATTTTAAAATTAAAAACTAAAAATGTAAACAAACATGCTATTAATTAATTAGTTAATCAATTCTCCCCACCCTCTTCAAGTTCCCCAAGACAAAGACTAGGCACCTTCTACTTTCTGAACTAGTTAATCAAACCCTACTGTTCAGATGCATCTCATGATAAACAGTGAAGTTCAAATTAGGTCAAATATAATTAAGTTTCTCAACCATACTAGCCACTTCCCAAGCCATATGCCATGGTGGCTACCACACTGAAGAGTGTGCAGCCTGATAGACAGGGCTATTGGCCAAATTGCAGATGGCAGCAAATCTGAAAATGAATGGAGATCAGTTTGTGTTGTCTTCAGAATAATACAATAGAAAATATGTGATTCTTCGCATTCTGGAATACATGAATCAGTAAATGCATAGATTGCATTACAGTGCAGCTCATTGGTCACTTGCTAATGGAATACGAACCAATCCATCCCACTCTGTGAAAGTTTCTCTCCTAAAAGTTCTCTGACCTTTGTGTTGCTTGATAGGCACATCTGTCCTCCTCAACAATAGACAATTGAAAAGGTAGCCTATTCTTTGGTCAATGAGAAAAATGAGAATTGATTTTGTGAGTATTTTAGTACGAAATTAATGGCTTCTAAGATGTTCTAAATCTAAATGGCTCATTGTTTTAAAACTTGGTAACTGATACCACAGAATGAAGAATCTAGGTGACTGAATTCCTCTTTGAGATGGGAGTTTGGCTGTTGCCACTGTGATTAAGACTACATAATAATCAATGAGTCTTGCCAATCAGGGCTGATTTCTTTGAAGTGTTTATCTTCAGACTAATGATATGAATGTATTATGAGACAATTGCTATGAGTCCAGTTGGCATATATTACTCACAAAGCTAAAGTAATTAAAGTGTAGTGAAATGTAAAATTCAATTTCTCCATTGCACTGTCCACAGTTCAGGTACTTGGCAGCTACCTGACGTTCTGGGGGGCTGTGTTGAAGATGCAGTTAGTAGCATGCTTTCATTATTCTGCCACGTGCTATCAGAGGGTCCCTCATACTGTAGGGACACACAGAAGAGGAAAGAGGGACAGATGCGAGGACTGTGAGGCAGCCTTGTGAGTTGATCCACCCAGGGTTCACTGAAGGCCCCTGGGAAAAGGTCAGGAAAGAGCTAAACTAGGAGAAAAGAACCTACAAGGTGCCCTTGGGTCCACACAAACTTATTGTTTCTTGCTATTTCTTTCAAAAACATGAATATTTATTGTATTTGCTGCCAGTGAGACGATGAATGGGTTAATAAACAAAACTGTTTCTGAAAGAAAAAGAAAGAGGTCAAAGATTGCTTATGGATCAATGAGGAGTACCCTGGAATGTCTGAACAGAGGACTTTGATTAAGCCCTGTAACTCTGAGTTCCATTGCAAAAAAAAAAATCCCATTTATTAGCTCTTAAGGATATGCATTTAATCCGGAAATAAAAAATAGTACGGCTGTACTGTTGGGTTTCTGTGCATAAAAGCAGTGTGTAAGTCAACCGAGGACCCTATAAATTAACACACACAAAAAAGGGTTGTTTCTCTTCCAAATGTGTGAGTGCTTAATGTGATAGGAATCATTACTAATGTATTTATAAGGCTCTGAGCTCTAGGAACGCATCGATTAAGGCCGAAGCTGCAAGACAAGGAATACCTGGATAAATGTTTGTTCTTTTCAGATATGTTGTGGGTTTTTTTTATTTAAGGAAAGGACAAAATATTTATTTAATTTGATGATTCACTAAATGAAATCCCAGTCGAGGAGGGCTCACCCATGAGTCTAGGCTGACAACATGCCCCAGGTGAACGCCTAGGATTTCTGGTGAACTTTTTATTGCATTTCAATTCCATTCTTCGGTTTAATTAAACAATTAAATTACTGAACATATAATATAATCTGATGCTAGTATTGTCCAATGGCTCTGAACTGACAGCAGTAACTGCACTATCATAGACTAGGGATATTAGTATTTCAATTAATGAGGCCCAAGTGTAGGCCAGGGAGGACCTTTGTTATAAAATACCACTCATGATTAGTCTGGTCCCGATTATCTAGAGAAGGCAAGTAAACCCAGCCCTCACGTTTTTTGCCATGGTGATCGTATTTATTTGTTTCAACACACTATAGAATTATACAGCTTCTGTGCATCTCCTTGAAGTTGCAGGGATAAAAAAATCCCATCAGCTTCCAGATGACTGTGCATATTTACTCTTGACAGCTGCAGAGACCTCATCAGGATCTCTTTCCTTCTACATTGCTTCCCTCAGGAGGTTTTCCTCTCCCATAGTGAGCAGGGGATGTGTAGCAGACGGAGACACATGGGCAGTCTTGGTGCATTGTAGGTCTTAGCTTTCATACTTAAAAGAAAGAAAAGTTGACATTCTTAATTTCTTAATTTTATTATAGAAATGTTACAAAAAGTATTACGCTCTGAAATGAACCAGACCCAAAGACTTACATTTTATTAAGTGAAAATACATAGCTATTACCACAGACTCACAAACATCTAAACATCTACAGGAAAAATTTCGCTAAGTGGACATAAGCTAAGTCGTTACATTTTCATCATCCACAGTGCTCATCCCTCAGAAGCAATGGCTTTGTCTGCTTTAAGCACTGGACCCTGCTCACAAACCCTACACTTTTTCTCGGTATTTACATGAAGACCCCAAAACCTGTGTGAGTAATATTTAAATGTATTGTTTTTCTCAGTGGAATGCTCTTTGTTATTATAGAGTATCAGTGATATCTGAGTAAAGGATCTGGTTGTTCTGAAGAAGAAAACACAGCCATAGGCACACATTACTAGAGAAGAAGACGGCTAACACGGACCGATGATGACAAGGGTCAGCACTATAAGTCACTGACGATGACTACAATTTTTTTGTCTGAGGTTCAGAAAACAACACATCTCAGGTGCTCCCTCCGCTAGCCAGGGGATGGAAGTTAGGCCTGTGGAACAAGCATTGTGCATTAGAATCAGGCACTTTTATGCATGTTCTTTTCTCATTTGATCAATGAAACATGATACAAATATATACACAAATGCAAATGTAAATGAATATTTTGAGACATTGATCAATTAGAAAATAAATATTTGACTACAAATTCTGCTACGACATGTAGAAAACACAGAAGCCGGTTAAGATTAATTGGCATAAAGATTATATAAAATTTATCCAAGTTCACATATGAAGTGTAATTAATGGATTAAGCCCCAGTATGGGTTAACACCTTAATTTTAATTTTCAGTCTTACTTGATTTCTAACAACCTGAATCCTAAATAACAAATATTGGAAGGAGAAATGTAGACATAATTTGAAAAATATCAAATCTTTTTATTTTTTTTCCTGCTTTGTACTCTCTGGATGGATGATGACTGACCCATTGTTTCCTGGCTGGGAGGTCCATGGTTTTCCTAGCCTCAAGTTTAAAGATCAAGGGAACTGATGTAAGTAAAGGCAAAGTTCTTCTTTTGCTTTGGGTGCTAGGAGTTTGTGATGAATAGTTATGGTAAGAATGTCAGTGACCTGGCTAGTTAAGTGATACAGATGTAGAGAGTAAAGAAGAAAGAAAAGGGTGGTGTTGGACCAGTGATGAGCACCGATGATGTATGATCTGGGGATCATGATTACAGGTCTGGGAGTCTGAGGTCCACACCAGAAAACACGTATAGAGAGGAAAATGTGATAAAATGTTAGATATGGTATAGCGTGTTATAATATTTGTGTTCATGAGTTTTTTTTCCATATTTGTAATTCGAGTAAAGCATAATAAATGAGAGGGCAAGGTAATCTCAAATAATACTGAGTAGTAATACTAGCAGTCTATTAGTAAATGTGCTGTTAACATATTCATGAACACAGGAGCTCATGAAGACAGGATGCCTGAGGATTCCACAGGAAGTAAACCTTCTTTGTATTGTCAGAGCAATGTCCAGTGTTTCTGTCCTTAGTAGATCATATGACAGTGTCATACATACTTAGGTGAGTGATTGAGATATTAATGCATACAAGCCGAGTCCATGAGGGAGTGAACAAAATGTCCTTTTTTTTGTTTTGTTTTAATCTCTTCTGTCTTGTACTCTCAGAATGGATTCCGCCCCCATGCGGATTTTCACTCTCCCTCGCTCATGAGCTTCATAATGAGCTGTTTTAGACTGTAATGCAGATAGTGTGAGTACCGTTTGTGTTCGGATGTTGTCTTCTTGATGCTTCTAAAGGCCATTTACTGTATTAAAAAGACCAGCTATGGCCAATGCTGAATGTATTTGAAACACAAGATTTGATAAACTCTTGTCCAGTTAAGGATATGTAATGAAAACGGTCCTTTTCCTCTTCATTACGCCTGAGGATCTTGTACTTAGTTTTTTTTGTGAGTTACAATTGCCTCAGTAGTACTAGTGATCAATTGTTCAATAAATGTGCCTAAATTAATAGAGGAGGGCTGATGTTGGATCAATGATGACTGCGGGTGCTGTATGAGTCATGGATGGTGACTACAGATCTGGAAGTCTGAGGTTCACATCAGAAAATATTTATAAATAGATGAGTATAAATATTATTGTAACATGGTAAAATAATATAAAATGATATAAACATATTTTAGTAACTCATTTTCCAATCAAGACATAATTCCACAAAGGAACAACCTATATATGCTAAATACAGTAGCATATTCACCAGCGATGACTCTAATGTCAAATAAAGTAAAACTGTTTTAGTGTTTTTGGTAGAGTCACAACTATGACCATAGAGTAATGTCAATCTTTTTATAACCTCTTCTGTTCTATACTTTCAGAATGGATACCCTACAAGCTGATTTTATACAGTCTAACTTGAAACAGAACCTCGTGATCCAGCCTCTGTGTTCACAGGAAAGACACAGTGTGGGTATCGTCAGTGTCCATGTCTTGGTTCATATTGCTCATAGATTGCTCATTATATTTATGGAACACCGCTATAATATGGAGAAACAATCTTGGCAAAATTGTAACCACGGCCAGTGTATGAAATATAATGTTTAACAAAATTTTGCCAAATTAAAATTATATTAATCGTAATTTATTTACTCAGCAGGATAAACGATCCTGCAGAGGTCTGAATTATACTCAAGGACCTCGTCATTAGATTTTGGTGATTCATAACTATCTTAATATTGTGAGTAATTACTCAAAAACACATAGAACTTAACAGAGTAGGTGAGGGCTCATGTTGGATCAATGATGACCGGATGTGGTAAATGATTCTCGTATCATGACTACAGATCTGGGAGTCTGAGGTTCACATAGCAATAGCTAGCTTACACCACAGTCATTGGCAGCAATTATGAGTGCTCGTCTTACCGTATGCCTACTTGAAAACATATTTTGTAGCATGTATTCCAATTAAGGTGGAACTTCACAAGAAGAGTCCTAATAATATACCGTAATATATGACTAAGGATGCCATCTGAACCATAATTAAAGCCATGAGTTCCATGGCCATTTGCTTTCTCAAGAAACAGACATATTAGTCTAATACGTACTTGGATGTAGAGTACTGGGAAAGAGACAAGACAGGCAAGTGGAGGGCGTGGATGAGTGAACTGCAGAACCTCATTAAATACTTAGTATAAACTCATTATCTCAGTGACAGATATTAGGAGTAATCTACATGAACAGTTATGTAAAATATAAATACAATTTCTATGTCATCTTATAATCAAGACTTAAGTGCATGAGTGTATTAAAATATATACCCAAAATAATCCCTCATTCAGATGAGACGGCTGAGTTCATCGCATGAATTAAAATTATAGGCAAAGTTCTGGTAGAGTCAGAGGAGCAGCCCTTTGTTTTCTCAATATGAATGTACAGTAGTGTGGCGCATATGTAAATGAGCCATAAGAGGAGAGGAGTAAGACCAGCGCACAGAGAACATGGATGAGTGAGCAGAATGCCAATATATTTATATTTCCTGCTTTATATGCTCAGAATGGTTTTCCCCCGAATTGATTTGCAAATTCTCACTTTGATGTGAGCTTCATGTTCAGCCCTTTGGATTCATAATATAGACACAGTATGAATATAGTCAACATTCCTGTGTTTTTTCATGTCGCTTTTAGTGACTGTGCATATTTTGATTAAAGACAAACTTATTATCTGATAAGAACAGCCATCACCAAAGGGTTAATATAGCATATAAGGGAGACACTGTGTTCATTTTTTTCCAGATTAAGAGTGCATAACAAAATAGACACTAATCATGGCAAAAGAACCTTGGAAACTCTGAAGTATACTTAAGAGTCTTGTCCTTGGATTTTTGTGATGTATAATTATCTCAGTAGCATTAGTGGCCAATAGCCTGTAAATCAATAGAGAAGGAGATTAATGGCGACTGCTGCTGCTGTATGAGTTGCTGATTGTGCCTGCAGGTCTGGGAGGCAGAGGACCATAGCATAAAATACCTACTTTATACCCTTTATAGTAAGAGTAGTTTTCTTTAATAATTTTACAAGAATAGTGCTAAAATGTTAGATCAAACAGTTCTTTTGGATATGATGGCTGAGAATACCATGCTACATCAAATAAAACCATAGGCAATGTTCTTGGTAGGGCCAGTGCCATGACTGTATTCACTGTATACTTATAGTAAGCATAAGGAGATTAGAAATTTAAAGTCGGCATATTGCATGGAGAAGAATAGTGAATGCCAATCTTTTTTTTATGTTCTCTTCTTCTTTGTACTCTTAGAATGGCTGCCCTAAGCTGATGTATAAATTCTTCCTTGCTTGTGAGATTCCTGCTCTAATCCTTGTAGCCCTAAGATAGACACATTTGCATGTAGTCAGTGTTCATGCCTCCAACTTGGTACTTTTAAAGACTACGCACACTATTGTTGAAATACTACTCGTCCTCTGGAAGACCAACTATGTCCATACGGTAAATAAAGTTTCTATGTAAAATAGTGTGTTTAGCAACGTTTTTCCAAATTAAGATTTTAAAATCAAACAAATGCTCAACAAAGTAAAAGATCCTGTAAATGTTTGATGTTTGCTCAAGGACATTTTCCTGATTTATAATTGATCAATTGCTCAATAACAATATAGATATAAATAGAGGAGGAGAGGGCTGATGTTGGATCTATGATGACAATGGGTGGCATATGATTCGTGGATCATGAATACAGGTCTGGAAGTCTGAGGTCCACATCCTAAAATAATTAGATTATGTCCCAGATCCTAGCAGCAGATATGAGTGATAGTCTACTTTTATAAGTATATACAAAATAAATAAGTTGGTCAGGCATTCTTAAATTTGACATGGTTCCACAGGACAAGTAGTAATCATATATACTAAACCAACCCAGTTTTTCTGACAGAGCCTTTGAGATGCCTTATGAACTATATGTAAAGCCAATGTTCTTGGTAGGGTCAGAACCATTGCCATTTGTTTTGTCAATAAGAACAAGACATAGTGTAATGTACACTCCGATGAGAGTTAGAAAAAAGAGGAAAGACCAGCAGACAGAATGCATGGATGAGTGAACTGAATTCCAACCATGTTTTATTTTCTTTTGCTTTGTACTCATAGAATGGAGCCACCAGGCTGATAATTGGTCACGAGCAATATAGACACAGTGTGAGTACAGTCAATATTCTTCTCTTAGTTTTGTGTGCTTTGCAAAAACAGTTCACTGTATTGATAAAGGATATTATCATCTGAGAAGAGCAAGTGTCACTAATAGGTTAATATGGCAGGTGCTTGACACACAAAAAGTTAGGTAGTTAGTTAGTTAGTTAGTTAGTTGCCAAATGCTTAATATTCAATGTGCATGAACACGGTGTTTAGTAATATTTTGTCAAATTAAGAATGTATACCAAAATAGATACTCAACACTGCGGTATCCCGAGGACATCTCAAGAATACTCAAGAATTATATCATTAGGTTTTTGTGATTCATAATTCTTTCAATAGTACTAGTGATCAATTGCTCAATAAAAATGCATAAATACAGAAGAGAAGGGATGATGTTGGATCGATGATGAACGGTGCCATATGAGCCGAGGATCATGATTACGGGTCTAAGATTCTGAGTTCCACATCATAAAATATCTACCTTACCCCCTTGTCCCTGGCAGAAGATATGAGTGATAGTCTACTTTAATAAATGGGCAAAAATGTAAATTAAAGTAAATTGTCAAGGCGCTTTCCAGTTAAAACATAACCCCATAGGAAGTGTATAAAATATATGCAAAATACACCTGGTGTAATGTTTGTTTTCCCATGAAGAATGCATCATAATGCCGTACATAATTATATGAGTGATAAGAGACAGGTACAGCAAGTAAACAGTGAATGGATGAGCGAACAGCATGACAATCTTTTCCTATTCTTTTCTGCTTTGTACTCTCAGGATGGATTTCTCCCCAAAGATGATTTACACCTTCATTGGTGATGATCTTCATGGTCAGCTCTTTGGGTTCATAATATAGACACAGTGTGAGTACATTCTTACATTCAGTCTTCTCATACTGGGTTAGTATTGCTTTTAATGTCTGTTCCTGTATTGATAAAGGTCTCCTTATCATCCTGCAAGAGCCATTGTGGCCAACATGTTAATCTAGCTTGTGCATGAAACCCAATATGTAAAAAATGTTATCAAATTAAAAAGTGTAATGAAAGAGACACTCATCATATCAAAAGATCCCAAGGTGCTTTGAAGTATACTTAAGTTTCTTGTCTTTGGATTTTTGTGATGCACAGACATCTTTATAATACCAGTGATTGATTGCTCAATAAATATCAGTTAACACAAAACAGGAGCACTAATGTAGGATCAATGATGACCAGGTGGCATATGACTTATGTACCATGACTGCAGGTCTGGGGAGTCTGAAGTCTACCTCACAAATACCTAATATATGCCCATGATCTTAATGATATTAATAATAACCTACTTTTTCAATTAGACAAAATATCAATAAAAATAAATATAGGTCAATCATGGTGGCTCATGTCTTTAATAACGTTATTCAGGAGGCAGAGACAGGTGGATTTCTGGACAGCTGGGGATACACATAGAAATCTTGTCTTGAAATACAGCCCCCTCTCCACAAAAAAAAAATGTAATTTTCTTTTTTTTCCTTTATTGGGACTTGGTTTCTCTATGTAGCCCTGGCTGATTGCTGATTTGTAATTATCTCAATAGTACTAACAATCAATATCTCTATAAAATGCATAAATTAATAGAGAAGAAGAAGGCCAGGGTTGGATCTGTGATGACCACTGGTGCCATATGAGTCATGGATCATAACAACAGGTCTGGGAGTCTGGGGTCCACATCATAAAAGACCTAGTTTATATTCATGATCCTACTGACAGTTGTTAAGGAGATTCTATATTTATAATTACATAAAATATAAAACTTAATTGATAAGTTTTTCCCATCAAGATATAATTGCAAAGCTGGAGTACTAAAAGCATATACTTAACTCAGTATTTCATTCGAACATGATGACTGGGGATACCCAGTGAGTTCAAATTGTAGGCAATGTCTTTCTTTCTTTGTTTCTTTCTTTGTTTCATTGTTTCTTTCTTTCTTTCTTTCTTTCGTTTTTTGCTACAGACTCTTAGCCATTTCTTTTTCCTCAAGAAGAATACATGATAGTAGATTGATACTTACATAAGGATAAAAAGTGAGGGGTAATGTAAGTGGATAGATTGCATTGGTATGTAGTCAGAACATCAATTTTTTTTTGTGTGTTCTCTTTTGTCTTGTGCTCTCAGAACAGATACCCCAAAGCTGATTTTAGACATTCGTCCTCTGTCACCAGCTTCTTGATCCGCTGTTTGTATTCGTAGCATAGATACAGTGTGAGTATAGTCAATATTCATGTCTTTGTTCCTATACTTTACCAGCTATTTATTGTAGTGATGAAATATGTGCTTCTTGTCATCCGCAAGTGCAACCATGGCCCAATTGTCAATCTGGCACAAGGGTCAAAGGCAATAGTTAAAATTTTTTGCTCAACTAAGTTTGTGCAACCAAAGAGATCACCAATGTGCCAGATATGCTGACTAGTCCTGAAGTATAGTCAGGGATCTCGCCTTGGATATTTGTTGTTAATGATCATTTCCAAAGTTATAATGAGCCATCATTACACAAACATCCAAAAATTAATAGACAAGAGGAGGGATGATGTTGGATCAATGATGACCGTGGGTAGCTTCTGAGTCGGACTGTGACTACAAGTCTGTGTCTGAGGTCCACATCATAAATTATCTAGCTTGGGGGCTGGAGAGATGGCTCAGAGGTTAACAGCACTAGCTGCTCTTCCAGAGGTCCTGAGTTCAATTCCCAGCAACCACATGGTGGCTCGCAATCTTCTGTAATGAGATCTGGCACTGTATCCTGGAAAGTTTATATATAATAAATAAATTAAAAATTGTCAAGCTTATACCCACGACTATGGTAGCAGAAGTATATGATAACCCACTATTACACTTAATAGAAATATGAACAAAATTAACTGTTTATACTAAATATTTTTATTACATTAAAAAATTTTAATTATATAATTTTTTCTTCTCTTTTTTTTCTCTCTCATTCTCATATACCCCTCATTAGTCTGACTCAAATTTATGCTGTTGTATGTGCGAATGTTTGTGCGCACATGCACAGACACACACACACACACACACACAAACACACACATTCCTAAATATAATCTGCTCAGTTTATATATAACATTTCTCTGGTCTACAAGAGCTAGTTCCAGGACAGGCTCCAAAACCGCAGAGAAACCCTGTCTCGAAAAACCAAAAAAATAAAAAAATAAAAAAAAAAACATTTCTCATATATGTTTTCAGGGCTGACCCATTGGTATTGGTTAATGAATTGGTTTGCTCTTCCATGAAGACTATTGCTTCCAATTTCAGAATTCTTTAATTGGCTTTAATTGTGTAGGATTGAGGCCTCAGGGACTTTACCCAACCACTGTGGCATGCCTATTGGCATCCTTCAATTAGACAGAATTCCATAGGAAGCGTACTGACAAGGTATACTGAATGTAATTGTTTATCCATACAGCGTGTCTGAGGATACTGCATGAATTAAAACTATGTTCTTGGTAGGGTTACAGCCAGGTCTAATTTCCCCCCATGAAGAACTCATCTCAATGTCACACATAATTATATGAGTGATAAGAGATGGGTAAGGCAAGTAGCGTAGTTCATGGATGAGTGAATAGAATGTCAATCTTTTTATATTCTCTTCTGATTTTTACTCTCAGGATGGATTTCCACCCACCTTCTGCTTTCATTATGATCTTCATGGTCAGCTCTTTGGGTTCGTAATAGACACAGTGTGAGTAGAATCAGTTCTTATGTTGGATTGTGTTGCTTATAATGGCTGTTCTTGTATTGATAAAATACTTTAAGATCCTGGAAGAGCATCCAGGTCCAGCCGAGAAAATTTGGCATGTGCATCATGCACAATGTTTAAAATATGATTAAATTAAGAATGTACAATGAACCTAGATCCTCAGCATGTCTGAGGAGCTTTCAAATAAAGTCATAGATCTTGTCCTGACATACTTATGATTCTTAATATCTTAACAGTAAACTATTCAACAAACATGCGTAAGTTAATCAAGGAAAGGAGGGCTGATGCTGGATCTGTGATGACCACTGGTGCTGTATGAGTCGTGGATCATGACTACAGGTCTGGGAGTCTGAGGTCCACATCAGAAAATAGCTACCTTATACCCATGATCATAGCTGCAGTTATGAATGATTTCCTACATTTGATTAGATGAAAAATACCTGCATAACGCTTTACCAATTAAGTCATAGCTCCACAATAAGAGTTCTAATTATATATACAAAGACAAAGTAATTTCTTCTGTCAGTTTGTTTAACCGGTGCCATGTAAACTAAGATTATAGCCAGTGTTCTTGGTAATGTCTGTGCCATGCTTGCCTGTTTCCTCAAAGAATAACAAATGGTGGTGATTTATAATAATAACAACAGAGCACACATGGATGAGGGTTGAGATGAAAAGGGCAAGATAAGCAGATAGATTGCACGAATTGCCTAATAAAATGCAGTAAACACAGTGTCCTTCTTTCCACCACGTTCTGATATGTAGTCATAGAATGGATACCCCCAAGGCTATTTACACATCCTACATTGGGCCTGAGTTTTGTGATGAGCATGTTGAGTTTGTAATATAGACAAGATACAGTGTGGATATTGTCAGTGTTCTTATATTGTTTTCGGGTACTTTGAAAGGCTATTTCCTTTACTGATAAAGGACTACTTATATCTGGGAAGAACAAGTAAGACCAATATTTAAAAAGATTTTGCTAAATTAAACTGTGTAATTATATGGGTACTCAACTTAGCAAAGATCTTGAGGAACTCTTAAGTATTTTTAAGGATCTTGTCCTTAAATTTTTGTGAACCTAATTGTCTTGATAGTACTAGCAATCAATTGCTCAATAAATGTGTCTAAATTATTAATGGTGGCCAATGGTATTATATGATATGTGGATCATGACTATAGGTTTAGATGTCTGAGATCTACATAAAAAAAAAATCTAGCATCATACCATGATCCTGACCGGAGACATGAGAAATAGTCTACTTTTATAGTTAAATAAATAAAATAAATTTTTAATGAATTTTCTAAGTAAGGCCTAACTCAACATTAAGAGTGCTAATGTATTCCCAACACAGTGGTTGCTCCAGAGCAGTTGACTGTGGATAGCATATGAATTAACACTACAGGAAATGCCCTTGGTAGTGTAAGAGTCAGCTCTTTGTTTTCTCATGGAGAGCACATTCCAATGTCATGCATACATCAATATGTAGGACGAAGAGAGCAGTACTGAAAGTAGGGAGGCTACCTGGGTAGGTAGATGGACTGTCAATCTTCTTATGATCTCCCTTGCTTTTTTCAGAATGGATGTCATTGAGCTGATTTTACATTCTCCCTCGGTCATGGGTTTTGTGATCAACTCTATTGATTAGTAATATTGTCACAGTGTGAGTATGGTCATTGTTCTCTTGTTCATTTGGGTTTCCTCGAAAGGCTGTTCTCTGTATTGATAAAAACTATTTATCATCTGCAATGAACAGCTACTGACAAAGCATAGCACAAAATAGATTTTTAAAAGTTTAACAGTTTATAGTATGTAACAAAAGAAAGTGTCATGATTGGAAAAGATCCTAGGGGGCTCAAATGTATGTATCATGATCATGTCCTTTACATAGTCATGATTCATAATTATATTAACTGTAGCCCTGATCAATTGTCAATAAACAAACATAAATTATACAAGAAGAGGAGGTCTGGTGTTGGATCTGTGATGACCACTGGTGCCGTATGAGTCATGGATCATGACTACAGGTCTGGGAGTCTGAGTTCCACATCATAAAAGAGCTAGCACCTACCGATTTTTGTGACAATTTTAGGAATTGTCTACTTTTAAAATTGGATAAAATACTAATAAGTATAAATTAGAAGTCATCGTACACTCATACTTCTATAGAAGGAGTGCTGAAACTGTATACCAAACACAGTTGTTCCTTCAGACATGAGTGAGGATGCCATATTAAATTAAATTATATGCAGTGTTCTTAGTAGAGTTATACCCATAACCCTTTGTTTTATCAAGAAAGAATGTATAGTTTTGTAAAGCACATTTAGATGATAAGAAGAAAGGGACCTGGAGAAGTGAACAGAATCCTAATCTATTTATGATCTCTGTTGCTTTGTACTCTCAGAGATGAATACCCTCCAGCTGACTTCCACATTCATTCTTCATTATGAGGCCCATGATCTGCTCTCTGTTCATATGATAGATGCTGTGTGAGTATGGCTAGTGTTTACGTTTTCATTTGGGTTACTTTTAATACTAGTTACTTTTAATGAATCATTGCTTGCCAAATGGTTAACATGCCATGTGAGTGAAACAATACTTTTTTTTAAAACCAAAGTATGAGTTTTGTGATCACCTCTTTTGAAATTTTCAGTAAAGAAAAATATGTATTGTTTAGGTTCTCAGTAGTACTAGTTACCTATAATTCAATAAACATAAAATAAAAATTAATAGAGAAGCGCCAGACTGACGACCATTGGTGTCATATGAGTTGTGGATCATCACTACAGCTCTGAATATCTGAGATCCAGATTGCGAAGTATATAGTTTATACTTGTTATCCTAGCCTCAGCTGTGAGGGATGATGTGCCTTAATAATTGGATATAAATATAAATAAAATAAATCAGCAAGGCATATTTAAATTAATTTACAAGAATTTGGATAATATGCAACAAGCCAAAAATTTCATTCAGATAGGATGAATTAGGATACCACATGAAGTAAAATTACAGATAATAATTTTGGCAAGGCCAAAGCCATATCCAGTGTGTATTTTTAAAACAACACATCATAATGGGACACATACTTAAATGGCTGAGAAGAAGGGTGGTTGTATACGCAAGCAATGTGTTTGAAGAGTAAGCAGAACACTGATGTTTTTATATTCCTGTGTTTTTATATATGGATAACAATAGGCAATTTCCAATTCTTGGTCATGAACTTTGTGGTCTTGTCTTTGTAGAACAGACATGGTATGAGCATGGTGAGTGTTCTTATTTTGGTCTGAGTGGTTTTTCAAGCTGTTCTTTATTTTGCGATCAGCACTTGTTAGCTGGGTAAAGCGCCATCATTGATCCAACATCAACCCTCCTCTTTACTAATCTACATTGATCATTGGTACTATTGAGGTAATTTTGAATCACAAAGAAATCTGAGGACAAGATCATTGATTATACTTTAAACCTTTATGGGATCATGACCATATGTCTGGAAGGCTGAGATCCACATTGTGATATGGGTGAAGTCAGTCATGTTCAAGGGTCCTGTTTTTCAACTCATTCTTTCATTCACAATACTATTTTTCATGTTCATGACTTTTATTTTCTTTTTTTCTAATTGGATCAATGAATAAGTTATAACAAGATTATTCATAATTAGAGTTAGGTTGAGAAGTATTTCCCACATATAAGAATTCAAAAACACTGTAATTCTAAAATGGCTAAAATGGTAAATAAGGAACTTATTCTTTTAGGGTCAAGGCTATGTTAAACGCTATTTATTTTTCCCCAAAATAAATGTAACTATATTCTGTTTGTTCCAAAATGACAATAATAAAAAACAATAATAACAGTGAGAATGATTTAGTGTTATCCCTGTGGTCCCAAAGGCTAAGACCAGAGGACTGTGATTTCAAGGCCAGTTTGTGTTTGTTACAGAAAGAAATAATAATGGTAGTTAATTCAGAGATAAATGGCTCTGAGGTATTCCAATCATGGCTGAGAATGAGAACACAGGGAAACTTTTCCCCTCCATGGGGCCAGTGGATTTCTCAAGAGAAAGTATCGTCACACACCAGTTACCTTTTGTTTGTTTTTATTTTTGGCCCTTGATACTTTCTTTTTTAATTGAGATTAGGTTTTTTCATACCATATATTCTGATCATGGTTCCCCTCCCTTATCTCCTCACTGATCCTCTTTACCTCCACACCCACCCAACACAACCTCTTTCTCTCCATCACTTTAGAAAACAAACAAGCAAATAGCAACAACAGCAAAAAGTAGACAAACTAGAATAGAACATAGCAAACAAACATTAGAAAAAAACAAAGAAAGAAAAGCTAATGAAGGACATTCACATGCTCGGACAAACATGATCGTAGAAAACCCATAAACACACAGATTTGGAAATGACAATATATAAATAAAACACCAATAAGGTTCAAATTAAAATGCTCAGACAAAGAATTATGGGATTAAAAATCTCTAAATATATCAGTTAGTCTTCTCCGAGTTGGTCTTTCTTGAATGACTAATGACTGAAAGATAAAATACAAAATGAATATGGACACAATAGGATTCCATTCATATTTTGTTTTATTTTATACTCTCAGAATAGACGCCTTCATCACTGGTCACCGGGTTCATGCATCATAGGGACCCACGTGAGTCAAAGTTTTTGTCTTCGTTTTAATTCTTTGCCCTGTTTTCATAAAGAAACCCAAGGACCCATGGCCCAGTAAGAAATATCATGTGCCATGAAATACTTGGTTGACTATCTAACCAGTCCTTTGAAATTAAGATTGATATAGTCACTGAATAGCCTACAGATAGCTGGTTTTCATGATTCATAATTATATAATTTCATTAGTGAATGAATCAACAGCTAATAAACAAGAGAACAGAGAAACTAGAGGCCAAGGTTGGATCAGTGATGACATCTTGTTGGGTATGAGCCGTGGATCATGACAACAGGTCTGGAAGTCTGAGTTCCATACCTTCAGGCATCTAGTGTATATGTTCTGATTCTAAAAGCACTGCTTAGGGATGGTCAAGTATGTCATTCATCTTTCGAATTTTCATTTTGTTTTAAAAATTGGGTTAATTATAGAATCCTTGTGCAAATATGTAAATAAGAATTAAGCAGTTCAACATTGTTCAGCATGACAACCATGCTGGTTGAGAAATAGTAGCAAGCATGGACACCATGTTTGTTTCGAAATGAATGACATAGACTAGATAAGATTTTTACTAGATAAGAGTAATACACTTAAGTTATAATAATGAGTCCTCGTTTTGTTTGGGGCTTGAGTATTCGTTATTGTTTTATCAAGTGAACCAAACTGTGACAGTTTAGGTCCTATCCAAGTGACTTAAAAATGGACGGCAAAATGAAAGAATAAAGGATAGAATATAATTTATTTTTCAATTTTTCTTCTTTGCACTGTCAGCACAGATGCTTTCTGACTGATGTTCACATTCTGGTCGACGAGTCCACCGTTACCCTACATGTCAGGAAGACAGATACCAATGTGAGTATGGTAAAATCCCTGGACTCAGTTTGGGGGGTTCTTTACACTATTGGTAAAAGCATCATCCAACATCCACTAAGGCCAACTATGGCTGACTGAGAAATAACTGTGGCTATCAAACATTATGCCAGTTAATCAACACTTAACACTTTGTGCATCAGAGTCACATAAAAGTTATTGATAAAATAACAGATTAATTAATAAACAAATGTAGAAATTAATTGAAAAGGAAAGGTCCTATTTTGGGTCTGTGATGACCGCTGGTAGCCCATGAGTCACACATCCTGATTACAGTTCTGGAAGGCTGAGGTCCACACTGATTCTTAGAAGTGATCCTCTCAGCCGGGCGGTGGTGGCGCACGCCTTTAATCCCAGCACTCGGGAGGCAGAGGCAGGCGGATCTCTGTGAGTTCGAGACCAGCCTGGTCTACAAGAGCTAGTTCCAGGACAGGCTCCAAAACCACAGAGAAACCCTGTCTCGAAAAACCAAAAAAAAAAAAAAAAAAAAAAAAAAAAAAAAAAAAAAAAAGAAGTGATCCTCTCCACACATGTGAGAACAGAGGACACATATGTCCTCGCTGGTATTGTTAATGGGTTTTGGTTATATTCCAAATAGATCCATGAAAAATCAATAGATTCATAAGATAAAATTATAAGTAATGGGGCATCACACTTATTAAAATTATTGAATGAGGATGTAGCCATTACTACTACATATTGGATGTATTGGTATTTCATTAGTAGCTCCTATATATCCCTTCTCTCTGATGATGTTTATTGTAGAAGCACAGGCCAGTGTTCTTATTTTGAGTTAGTAGGAAATTCAGTGCTCTTCTATTTCCGAAGAGAAAGTACGCATGACTGGATAACTGGATGATAAGTTGATTGAGCAGAACAACTTCTCAGTCCTTTCTTGTCTGTCCTTCTCAGAAAGGCCAACTCCAGAACAATGGGTGGATCCCTCCTGGTCCTCACCTCCAAGGTTGCCTGTGTTGTTAGGGTCATGGCTACAATCGTGAGTAATGATTACATCATCTCTTAAATGTTTTCCTAGAGGATGTTCCATGTAGAGATACAATTTGCTTACACTTAAATGTTTTCCAAGAGTATATTCCATGTAGAGATCTGATGTGCCTACAATGGTCAGTAAAAGGCAGTTGTCATTAACCATAAATATGGAATCATATAGAAGTTTGTACAAGGTTTGACCTGAACCAATTAAAAATGCCTTGTTACCACCACTTTATATATGGTGAATACCAGATGTTAAAATCAAAGGAAACTTGAGGTACTACCTCTGTTGATAATACTCCTGTAGTGAGTTGGTGAAAAGATTCATGGGTATATTCATGTGATTTTATACTATTTTTGTAATTTTATATATTAACATTAGAAAAAGGGTCAATAAACAAATGTCAGTATCAACAGTAAAGCATCATGCAATTACGAAAATGTCATGAAGAAAGACAATCTATAGTCACAAATTAACAACACTGAAATAAGTTAAGGGTAACATAGGGGCAAGTGCAGTTGCTAGTTCAGTGGTATAGCACCCTCACCTGGGTTCTATCTTCAACACCACAAAAACAAATAGATACGACCTTTAAGAATATTACTTTTTTGGCTGATAATTAAATTATGAATATGAATAGACAAATGAACAATAGTGATGTACACGCGTGCGTAGTCATTTCTGGTTAGGAAAGCTAATGTTTATCTGAGTGATGGAGCAAACTGAGCAAGGACAGTGAGTGCATGCCACCATAGTTTCACACCACCTTTTGGCTTTGTACCCCTACTCATCAATGTGACAAAGATGGTGGCAGATGCCTCTGATTGTCACTAGTTAGAGCAGTAATGTCTGAACATGCTGTTTTAAAAAGTATTCCCTCTAGTGTTGGAACACTCAATTCTAACTGAGATGTCTCCATCAAATCCCTCCCTTCAGGGATCAGGGAACCCTATGGAAGAGGAGGTGCAAAGATTGTAAGGACCAATGAGAATGGAGGACACCAAGGAAACGAGGCCTTCTAGATACAGCAGGACCGATGCAGATCTGAACTCATAGAGACCGTGACAGTGTGCATGGGGCCTGCACAGGTCTAAGCCAGATGGGGTCCCAGCACTGAGAGGGGCAGTGGACACAAGCCCCCATCCCTAACTCAGAAGCTATCTCTAATCCATAGACTCGCTCAGAGGAAAAACTCCAATGGAATCTCACTGGATATATAGACTACTCCTAAGAGCGGCCTCCATGCTCAGATGGCCAACCCAAAATGAACTCAATGGCATTTTTGGAAGATCTTGTGACACATAATGCTTTGTCTAGGTATTTTTTTCTTGCCCTACAGACATTTTGCATATATATTGTGGTTTCTGATATTAGTTTTTATGAGTTTTCTATGTCTGTGATTGTATGTGTCTCAGAGCCTGTATTTGTTTTTGGTGATTTATCGTAGGCTCTTTTTTTGCTTATTCTGTTTTGTTTGCATTTATATTTCCTCCTCCTTAGTTTAGATGCCTGCTTTCACTGTAATAAGAGAATAGAATAATTAGTGTGAATTTGGGTGGGTGTGTAAATAGGGAGGAGATGGGAGGTGTTGGGACAGGAAACCATAATACAAATAGTGTATTGTCAATAAAAAGCATTTCCTCTATCACTAAAAAAAAGTGTGAAGTACAGTTATTGAAATTGGATGGATGGATCACTGGAAATGTAAACAAATAATATGAGTGAATGCTTCCTCACATCACAAGATAAAAGATGTTGAGAATACTGATGTCCATGTGGGATGTGGCTAGACCTGAACCTAAGGTATTACATGTATGTATGAATATTAACTAAAATATCTTTTAAAAGAAATGTTGAAGCAATTATTTTGCTATTAGAAGAAAATTAAAATATTAAAGTGTTGTCTTTTGGGCTATGAAAAGTTGAGAGTGTACATACATGTCTCTATGCACATGGGAGGAAGCTCAGTCAGTGGGACAGCCTTTGCCAAGTATTCACAAGGTCCTGTTTCTCTCTCCAGTACTCAAAAAGAAAGTGGCCAATGATCCAAGTAGACCTTCTTGTTAATGACCCTCCAAATATGTACAAATGATACCATTTGTGTGTTCTATCCAGAAAATATAAGTATTGAAAAAGAAATATTTAAGTCACCAAATAAATTAAACATGGCAGCAATGACTTAAGAGAGACAGGAGCATATTTTTTAAATGAAGTATTCCACATTGTGTTCCTTGAAAAGGACACTCTTGGGCTGAGTTTGAGATTTGTCTCCAGCCATTGCTATGTGAGTAGCTCTGTAGGGTTGGAGCGCAGAACTGATGTGAGTTGCCATGAATGTTTTGATGTATATACGCGGCTCACTTGAAACCTATCAAATATAGCTGAACAAAAGCAGCCATTGTGAACACAGAATTGATATGTGGTGTTGCATTGGTCAATCTATACATGGAATCTTAATGAGTCCCAATGAGTTACATATCATTTCAGCAGATGATTGCCTAGATTGGTGAAGATCTTGGCAAGGTCTGTTCAGTTAGAGCACATTAGTCTGTAGCCGTTGAGTCTTTACAGGTAGCTAGAGAGTTAATTGGTAAGAGAGGCTGGATAATAAGACCTGAAGTAGCCAGAATCCGGATCAATAGGACTGCTGGGGTGAGTCACAGGCGGTGAATTGCATCCGGGACACTGAAGCCCAAGAGAAAAATAGTTCTAAGTTTTACCTGCTCCAGAATGAATGCTATAGAGTCAGGGTTTCCTAAGAGTCTTGTCTGAGTTTGTTTTTCACAGGTTTTGATTATTTTGCAGTCAGGAAATCAATAAGAGAGTGTACAATCAAACACTCGGTTGGACATGTTAAAGAGGTATGTTTTTATTGTGAGTAATGGAAAAGTATAAAGAATCAATGGATAATTATGAACAAGTAAAGAAGGGGGCATATTGTCATATAATTATAACAAAAAAGAGCCCTATTAACAGTATTAATGCTAATTAATAGTGATAATTGACCAAGGGACAAGTAATCAGAGATCTTTCTTGTGGGTAATAGTAATGACAGAATCTAAGCAATGGCTGGTATTCTTGCTTTGGGTTATTAAATGTTCAACGTTGTCTGGTTTTTCTTAGTAGACTACGAAATAAACATTAAGCAAAATCAGATACACCCAAGTGACCAAACAGTGACTCAAAGGTACCAGGGTCAATGGAAGCAATGTCTCAATTTTTATCTGGGTTCACTTCACTATGTAGTCAGGTTGAGGCTACACCGGGCTATATAAGTCCTTGCCATTAAGAAAATTCGATTACTCAGTATACACAGTAAGTAAGGAAAGGTGGTGTGTCTGTACCCATTCCTAGTGCACAGCGCAGCAGTATCAGACAGCGTGAGTGTGCACTTATTCCAGCCCTTCCCCCGCAAAGTCCATGAAAACACCACAGTTTTTTTGTATTGTCGTGAGAGATTAACAAAGTAGATGAGAATATCTACAAGTGTAGTCAGCCCAGCATTGCTGATAGTGGCGTATGAATCCCACAGTGGGTACTACGTTTGAAGCTGTCAGGTCCAGTAAAGTCACAATAAAATGTATCATTTGTGTTTCAAGGGCCTTAGGCATGGATGCTAAGAGCGCAAAGGGACCTTTTCCTTAGATTGTTTTTAAGCAGTTTTCTTTTTGTACTGTACACAGATAAATGCGACTGCTAGAGTCGATGTAAAATACAGATTAACAAGTATAAAACCTGTAAACTAGGTGGCAAAGCCGAAAAAGCATTAAAATAAATTATTTCAATTTCTATATGCATAAGTAACTTGATGAATGAACATGGACTGTCCTAATCTCCTTTCTGTCTGTTTTGCTTTTGATGCCCTAGGCTGAACTGTGAACTGGCTTCTGTGTTCTGCAGGTCTGGTCCTCATCGTTGCCTCTTTGGGTAGGTGCATTCTGTCCACTGTAACAGAGGTATTTACTTGTTTGTTTGTTTTTAAGTATACTCATGGTAGCATTTAAAATAAGTATTAATATGTTTTTTCATAGCCAAACATGGTCCAAGGGATGAATAGAAGTTGTATGAAGTATCTTGATTCATTGATATTGGCAACTCTGTGGATAATTGATGCTGAGGCGCTTATTCAATTAGAGATTAATTCCAAAGACAAATGGCAGGGACATGGATGTCCTTGAGCTTTTGTGATTAATGCATATATTATTAGTAAATCAATGAGCCAACCAATAAACAACTTCAGATGCAAACAATGATGGCCCCGACTAAGCCCAGTGGGGGCGTTCAGTGGCATAGGGTTCCTCATTGTCTGTGCCTCTGGGAGACTGAGGCCCAAACAGACACTAACTGGTTCAATTCCTGTCTTGTGAGGGTTAGGGATAGACAATGATCTTATTTGTATGGGGAGTGGCCGTTTGTCCCACAGCATATACCTGTGGAGGCCAGGGAAAAACTTCTGAGAATCAGTCTCTCCTTCTACCATGTGGGTCCCAGAGATTGGTCATCTGACTGGGGGCAAGAGCTTCTGCCCACTGAATCAACTCACTGGTCCAGGACCTTTTTTTAATTTTTGTCATTACATGCTTCCTTTTATTGATATAAGCATCCTGTAGACCAGTAAATATGTATATAAGTAAATAAAGCCTCGCCCTACTATGAATATATGCAAGGAGGCATGAAACATTAATGTCAACTGTGTATTAAAGCATGTTACGAAAAAACATGGGTCAAAGGCCCGACTTCTTTATTAAGGATCATATAGGCAGTGTATTGAATTACAGTCCTTAATATTATGATCACATGTCAGTACAATGCAAATATGGTCACACAAATACAGTCATTTTGAAACAGGTATTTATGGCACAATAGTTTTCATAAATCCCCGAATGAGTGACTTAGTGAGGAGGATGGGAGAGGACTACAGGAGGGTAGTCTTTCTAACCTTCTTTGTCTTTTCTCCGAGGAACCACGCATTGCTGCTAGCGAGGGACCCTGCCACGCAGCTTGCTTCATGGGTGGAGGGCACATAGACCAATGTGAGTGCGAATTGAATGGTGAGTACCTTGTGAGTTTTTCTTAAAGCATTTATTACATTATTAAAAGTAGAAAGAAGTCTCTCCAAGCCAGCTCTGGGAAATGATAAAGAGGGAATTAGCGTGAAATATTACACTTATAAATTCATTGATGATAATTAGAGAACATGAGATGAGAATGGCTGACAATCCTAAAGGCACGAAGAATATTTATCGCTCTTAGGTTTCATGAATCTTAGTTTTTAAAATTAGGACTATTGAATTAAATTACTTGTTTAATAAACACATGTAAATTAGTGTGAATAAAGAGGTCCCAACCAAGGCCAATGATGATAATAAAGGTTTAATGAGTTGCAGTGATGTGTGTTTTAGGTCTGTCATGCTGAGGTCTGGTTACATCTCTGAGGTCTGGTTATTATCTCTGTTAGTGACCCTAGAGATAGGTATGAGGGAAGTTGAGAGAGTAATATTTTTAGACCTGACCCAAAAAATTACCACTGTAAAATTATATGCACATACATTATATTACTATACATTAAACAGTAAGTTTTAATAGGAAATATGTACAATCCATGTGTCTTATTTCTTTAAAGATGGTAGACACAAGAAATAATGAAAGTTCAATTGTGCTGAGTTTCTTTAGAGAGAACCAGCGAATGTTTTCATATCTCACTAGAAATGGCAGGCCCGGGCAAGTGGAGGGCAGATTGATATTGCTGTGGCATCTGACTGGGATTTTGTTTGCTTTTCTTTGTATACCCCAGAACAAATAGGCTTAAGTATTCTCTAGTGTTCTGGAATTCTAGGCTCTTCCCTGTGTGTGGGAGCATGTAGTGCATGCTGAGTAATAGAAGTTCTGTTCTAGGTGTAGGAGGTTTGCTTTAAGACATTTATTGTACCATGTAAGAAATCATTAAATGTATTCAAGGCATGGGAACAATGCCCTAGTAAAAAATGTGGCATTGGCATCAAATATCATATTGATTAACTAATATATGTAGCATAATGATTGGTCAAAGAAGAATCTAAGACAACAGATGATTGTCCATATAAATGATAAATACATTTAAGGGCCTTGTTTTTGACTTTTTATCCATAGCTCCAACTTTATTGTTATTAGTGATTTAATAAGTTAAATAACAATTGCATGTAGACGACGATGAAGAAAGAATCATGGCCCAGAACCATTGTTGAATCAGTCACATGTGAGTCAGAAAAGATGAATAATTCATGTTTGGGCCTGACAGTTTTCAAGAAAATACAAGGACTCTTTTCTCACCTTAGTGCTCATGAATAAAAAATACTTTTTAAAAAGAATAACATTACAAATTTTTCTTTTGGAAATTTCATACATGTATATAATGCATCTATGTCTTACCCACCGCCCACTCCCTCCCTATAGTTCAATCTATGCCCCCTAAACACATCTTCTTCAATACCATGCCTTTCCTTTTTAAAAAACAAATCTAATCAGTATTTATCCATTTGTGCCTTAGATCAGGGTATCCACTGGGTTGCGGACAGCCTACCAGTGACTATTCCTCTAGACTTCTTTGAAAGCAGCAGGTATTGAATAAATAAAACACATGAATTAATGAGGAGATGAGAGGCAATTGTTCCGTGCTGTTTAAATGCACACTAAGAATACTGAAGCTTGTTAGAATGGATGGCCCAGGGTTATAGTGTTATATCATCAGGTGGGGAGGGTGTGCATAGTTCCCAGTGACAGCCAATGGTCTGTGTTGTACGTGGGCTTATTTATTGTATTGGCAGAAAATTAGTAAATATTATTGCACATTAATGGACACCTATATGACTATGTTATCAGATGACTGAAACGAAAGACTAATGGAGAACTGTTCTCTCTCTCTCTTTTTTTTTTTTTTTGTAT